CACCCCATAAACCTCCACGAGGAACCTACGACGTTCAGTAAAGGCAAACCTCCTCATCCCACCAAGGACAAAACTGAAGACCATGGGAGACCGAGCCTTCTGCTCCGCTGCTCCGAGACTGTGGAATGCCCTCCCAAACCAGCTGAGGACACCACAGACTGTGGAGTGCCCTCCCAAACCAGCTGAGGACACCACAGACTGTGGAGTGCCCTCCCAAACCAGCTGAGGACACCACAGACTGTGGAGTGCCCTCCCAAACCAGCTGAGGACACCACAGACTGTGGAGTGCCCTCCCAACCCAGCTGAGGACACCACAGACTGTGGAGTGCCCTCCCAAACCAGCTGAGGACACCACAGACTGTGGAGTGCCCTCCCAAACCAGCTGAGGACACCACAGACTGTGGAGTGCCCTCGCCAAACCAGCTGAGGGACACCCACAGACTGTGGAGGCTTTCAAAAAAGGCCTAAAAACGCATCTTTTTAGAATAGCCTTGAACTCGATTTTTAAATCCCCCACATGATGCCATGCCGGCATGAATGTCACAGCTTTTATTATGTTGTTTTAATTGTTTTAAAATTGTTTTTTATTGTTTTTGTTGTTTTGTTTCACCCTTTTTAATTTTTAATTTTGTAGCACTTTGAGTTTTGTTTACGCAAATGAAAAGTGCGCTTATAAATAAAATATATTATTATTATTATTATTATTACTTAAGTACAGTAATGAAGTATTTGTACTTCCCACCCCTGCTCACCATCCTCCCCTCTCTTCCCTCCTCAGAGCCCGGTTGGAGATCTGGATGATGGCGGGGGAGTGGATGTGGGGGGGCAGCCCGGGGGTCCGGAGGGCAGCGGCACCGTGCTGACGCCCCTGCAGCCGATGTCTCCGCAGCGCCAGGCTCTGCTCAGCAGCCGGTGCTATCAGCTGAGCGAAGCCGACTGCTGGGACCTGCCCGTCGACTACAAGATCAAACGGATCGGGGACGAGCACGACCACAAAGAGGTAGAAGAAGGTCCACCACACAGAAAAAACATCATACAAGTTGTAGTTTATAGCTAACAGGCATCATAAATGTTTCCTGGGGTCATTGTGATACATTTGTTTGAAGTAAACAGTAAACTTCAATGATTTCTTTGGGTTATTCCTCAAGATCAATGGTTACAGTCATCATCAATGTTTTTTTTGGTCATTTATGGGGCGAAGCCTGCGAGCTAGTTCAGGCAGTCAACTCGAGCACTTATGCTGCATTCATACATAACGCCCCCTTGCCACTCTACAACCAACCAGAGTCTCCTTAATACGCCGCTCTATTGAACCTGCCAGATCTCTCTCTATGCATTGCTTGCTGCTGCTACCTCTACGTCGCTGCTGCTTGCTGCCCCACCACCACCCCAGCTTCCACCTGTAGGCTCGGGGGTTAGTTATTTGATCATCACTCATCGTGCTTTGTATATCTATGGAGTGATGATGCCCGAGCCTAGTCGCCAAACTCAACTATATGCTGCTTCTAATAAACATGTTAAAGGAACACGTGAGTTGTCTGACTGAAATATACAATAGTTTGAACGTATGATCATTCTCAATGGTTTCTTGGCGTATTTTCTATACATCATTCAAAGTTTACGATCATTGTCAATGGTTTCTTGGGGTCATTTCTATAGCTCAAGTTTTACAGTCATCATCAATGTTTTCCTGGGGTCATTTTGATCAAACAGTTTGAAGTAAACAGTCAACGTCACCTTCAATGCTTCTTTCTAGTAACATCTATAGAATAGGTTGAATTTACAGTCATCGTTAATTGTTTCTTTGGGTAATACCTATAGATCAAAGTTCACAGTCATCAGCAATGCTGTTTCCTGGTAATTTCTGTAGAATAGTTGGAATTTACAGTCATGTTAATGGTTTCTTTGGTAATTTATATACAATAGTTTAGTTTACAGGCATCATCAATAGTCTCCTGGGGGGTTATTTTGATCAAATAGTTGGAAGTAAACAGTCAACGTCATTGATTTCTTGGGGTCATTTCTATAAATCAACGTTTATTAACTTATACATTTTATTTCTGTTCAGTAGTTCAAAGTTTGGGTATATCGTCAATGGTTTCCGGGAGTCATTTTGTATAATTCAAAGTTTAAAAGATGATCATCAATGTTTTCCTGGGTTTTTTAGGTATTTATTAACAATATCTAAAAAAAAAATACAGTTATCAGCAGCGGTTTCCTGGGGTAATTTCCAGCCAATAGTTCAAATGTAACGTTATCAATGGTACTTTGGGGTAATTTCCAGCCAATAGTTCAAATGTAACGTTATCAATGGTACTTTGGGGTAATTTCCAGCCAATAGTTCAAATGTAACGTTATCAATGGTACTTTGGGGTAATTTCCATCCAATATTTCAAATGTAACGTTATCAATGGTACTTTGGGGTAGTTTCCATCCAATAGTTCAAATGTAATGTTATCAATGGTACTTTGGGGTAATTTCTATCCAATAGTTCAAATGTAACGTTATCAATGGTACTTTGGGGTAATTTCCATCCAATAGTTCAAATGTAACGTTATCAATGGTACTTTGGGGTAATTTCCAGCCAATAGTTCAAATGTAACGTTATCAATGGTACTTTGGGGTAGTTTCCATCCAATAGTTCAAATGTAACGTTATCAATGGTACTTTGGGGTAATTTCCATCCAATAGTTCAAATGTAACGTTATCAATGGTACTTTGGGGTAATTTCCAGCCAATAGTTCAAATGTAACGTTATCAATGGTACTTAGGGGTAATTTCCTGCCAATAGTTCAAATGTAACGTTATCAATGGTACTTTGGGGTAATTTCCATCCAATATTTCAAATGTAACGTTATCAATGGTACTTTGGGGTAGTTTCCATCCAATAGTTCAAATGTAACGTTATCAATGGTACTTTGGGGTAATTTCCATCCAATAGTTCAAATGTAACGTTATCAATGGTACTTTGGGGTAATTTCCAGCCAATAGTTCAAATGTAACGTTATCAATGGTACTTTGGGGTAATTTCCAGCCAATAGTTCAAATGTAACATTATCAATGGTACTTTGGGGTAGTTTCCATCCAATAGTTCAAATGTAACGTTATCAATGGTACTTTGGGGTAATTTCCAGCCAATAGTTCAAATGTAACGTTATCAATGGTACTTTGGGGTAGTTTCCATCCAATAGTTCAAATGTAACGTTATCAATGGTACTTTGGGGTAATTTCCAGCCAATAGTTCAAATGTAACGTTATCAATGGTACTTTGGGGTAATTTCCAGCCAATAGTTCAAATGTAACGTTATCAATGGTACTTTGGGGTAATTTCCAGCCAATAGTTCAAATGTAACATTATCAATGGTACTTTGGGGTAGTTTCCATCCAATAGTTCAAATGTAACATTATCAATGGTACTTTGGGGTAATTTCCAGCCAATAGTTCAAATGTAATGTTATCAATGGTACTTTGGGGTAATTTCCATCCAATAGTTCAAATGTAACATTATCAATGGTACTTTGGGGTAATTTCCATCCAATAGTTAAAGTTCTACAAGCGTCTTTTTATGGGTTCTTGTGGTTATTTTTATAAAATGGTTAAAAAGCATCATCAATGGTTTCCTGGGATAACTTCTGTACAATAGTTGAAAGCCGGGGGTCATTTTTTATAATTCAAAGTAAAAAAAATGTATCATCAATGGTTTCATTGGGTAGTTTATTTACAATAATTTGATCTTTACAGTCATAATCAATGTTGCAATCACCAGGTATTGTCAATGCTTTGCTGGGGTAAGTTCACAGTCATCAGCAATGGTTTCTTTGGTTACATTTCAATAGTTCAAAGTTTATAGACATCGTACAATATCATACAATGGGGTCAGTTCAAACTGTAACGGCCCGTCCACACTACAGCTTCGACAGCTTCAAAAACGGTTTCCAACACGTCTGCCCATTCACTTTGAATGGGGTGACGTCACTTTTCGCCGAACTGCATTGTGGGAAGCAGAGCGGAGCTTTCCTGGCGTTTCCGCTGCAAAAGTTGAGCAATGTTCAACTTTTGAAGCTTCTGAAGCTTTCGGTGGAAGCGTCAGCCAATCAAATCATATGCCAGTACAAGCTCTAGCCAATCAAACCGCTGCTTGTGTGTCTGGGGCGGGAGATTCATGTGATTGGTTGTTGGTCGAGTTTCAGACACGCCCAGCTCCAAGCTTTTTTTGAAGCTGTAGTGTGGACGGGCCGTAACAAGTTAATTGATATGGAGGCAGGGAAAATGATACGTCTTAACTCCAACAGCCACCTAAAACGTTTCATTTGAAGAGGACGGTATGAAAACCATTGAATAACTGATGTACAAGTTGAATAATTTTCACACCAAATTGAAGCTCTAAATGCTGCTCATTCTCCACACTCTGCCCTTACAGTTCTTATTAAAGGCTTTATCTACCTTATCTAAGGCAGTCTGTCCCCTGATCATACAGAGTAAGGATAATATGAAGCATGAAATTGAGAGATTTAAGGCGTTTATATTAAAGGGTGCACACATAGATTAAGAGATGATAAGGCTTTATAAGCTTTTTAAAGGGATGCTTGTGCTCTGATGCATGGCGGAAAAGCACCATGGAGAAGTTGTGAACTTATTTTGCGAGGGCGTACTTTTGGTTTCTAGTACGCATAATTTTTGCATCGCTTTACATACATAAGAGGGAATTTTGTGAGTTTAAAAAGGTCCACTATGTACAGCTGCAGTAACCAAAGGCATGGAAACGGCACAGTGCTTGCCAAAACTGTACATCACAGCCGAGTTTCTGCTGTTATCCCTCACCCTGGAGCCACTAAATAGAAATGGTATAGCACTTGCAGCCAAATAATAAGAGAAAGGACAGAGACAAAGATGGATGCTGTAAAACAGAGAAATGTTTCTAACTTAAAACAATGTGTAAGGATCTGTAACCATCAAACTTTGAGTAATTAACAGCGGCAAAGAGAGAAAAACAACATTTACATTTATTTTTCCTTTCTGCAAAGAGTGAACCTTTAAGAGCAACTTCTATGTGACCATGGAAGTGAAATGTAAGGGACTAAATACAGAGTTATGACAGACACAATGTCTCTTATATGTTCCTCATCAAAATGCTTCTCTATAAGACCGAGCCATTTTTTTGTTCTTAATATATAAATCAAATTAATATAAATCTGACTTATAGATATATCACTTCAGAACATTTACAGCTTCTCTTTTACTAATGCACATCTCCTAAATTTAAGAGCACTTTTAAGTCAAAGTAATTTAATATATGGCATTTATTCTAACATTTACGAGTGGGAGGAATCATTAGAGGATTTATTTTTACTTTATTCTAAGTCTCATAATCTATTGAAAAAATGTTGATTTTCAAACCTTTGTGGATAAAAAGCAGGTGTCAGCCCGTATTGAGAAACTACCTATATGTACTTGTGATTTCTTAACTATACAGTAGCGCTCGTTTAGGGGACATTTACATTCTGACTACAATAAATGCCAGCCAATCAGAGCAGCTATTTTGAGATGGGGTCCTTAATGAGACAGGCGCTAAAACAGGGCGTTTCAGACAGAACGTGAAAACGGGTATATTCAGACAGATGTTACGAGAAAAATAATCTGTTGTTTAAACTTTAACGCATGTAAATATGTTCTATTAAAAACCCAAGGTGAAAGTATGAACTTAGAAGTGGCCAGGATATGTCTCCTTTAAAGGTCCCATGTCATGCTTTTCCAGTTCTTACCCGTCCCCTTGTGTGTTATGTAGTACACCCTGTAGCGAGTAAAACTCTAACACAGAGAAGACCTGTCTGTGCTGCCCCAGAACGCCTCGTTGGAGATTTCTCTTTTCCATTGTTTACTTCCTGGGTATCGTGACATATTCCGGGTATAGTTACGTGCACGGAGCAGTTATGTTTGGATCAATCCGCGGACTTCCTCACACACACACACACACACACACACACACACACACACACACACACACACACACACACACACACACACACACACACACACACACACACACACACACACACACACACACACACACACACACACACACACACACACACACACACACTCGGCGGTACGTTGCGAGGCTCGCTGCTGCGAGGAGCGGGACACTGTGGCCATTTCTCAATCGCGAGAAAAACTGCTGCAGAGCATTTCAAGTATACTACGTCATCGAGTGGCGCCGAAGGACTGTTTAAATGCATGTTAAATGCCCAGCATTCTGCGCCACTCTATGGCGTAGTATACTTGAAATAGTTGCTCTGCAGCATGTGTACTCACGACGATTGAGAAACGGCCAGTGAGCAGGCGGGAAAACACTCAACGGAAGTAACAAGACACAGTGGGAGAGAACTTCAAAAATAATACAGGAATCAGATCAAAACAAGGATCTTGACATTTTTAGCATTAGAAAAGTTCGTACATCTACTGTAGTACAGTTAGTTAGAAATCTCAGATAGAATGTGAACAGGTATATTCAGGCCGGTGTTAGGAGAGGTTTTTTGTATTTTTTTAAACATCAATGCTGCTAAACATGTTCTTTTTAAATCCAAATAAAACCAAATAAAACAAAAGTATGAACTTAGAAGTGATTGTGATATGTCTCCTTTAAGTTTAAAATAGCTCTGGTTGATGAGGTTTCTCCACCAGCCTCAGTGCGCCATCGTGTGGTTTAAATCGGCGCTTCATGCATCAACAGCTTCTCTCTGAATAAACGCTTCAGGAGTTTCGAACACGGTGCATTAAAAAGCTGAATTACAGCACTAATACATAAGTAAAACGCGTTAGATCTTCTGCACGCTTTAAACGCTCGCAGATCTGATATCACGCAGAGCAATCCATGCAGCAAATTGCTACATTTGCCTCGTTGGATTTAGAGCGCTGAAGTGAAAGGTTTTAATCAGGAGAGTAATTGCGTTTGTTAATGAAGCACGACGTTTCATTACATTACATTACATTACATTGCATTTAGCTGACGCTTTTATCCAAAGCGACTCACAATAAGTACATTCGACCAGGAAGACACAACCTTGAAGAAAACAGAATCATATAAGTACATCAGGTTTCATAGAGCCAAACATTTCAAGTGCTACTCAACTGGCTTTAGGTAAGCCAGTCCTTTATTAGTATAAAAGTGCTTTGTTAATAGTTCTAACGCTCGAAGTGGAGTCGAAAGAGATGAGTTTTCAGTCTGCGCTGGAAGGTGTGTAAGCTATCTGCTGTCCTGATGTCAATGGGGAGCTCATTCCACCATCTTGGAGCCAGGACAGCAAACCCACGTGTTTTTGCTGATGGGAACTTGGGTCCCCCTCGCAGTGAGGGTGCAGCGAGTCGTTTGGCTGATGCAGAGCGTAGTGCACGCGCTGGGGTGTACGGTTTAACCATGTCCTGGATGTAGGAAGGGCCAGATCCATTAGTTTCAGGGGAGGCCGGAGCCTGCAGCTCGCCGGCTGATGGGATTCTTTCAGGCGGTCTTGAAACATTCTTAGGGAGGAGTGATGTGATGTGAATACTGCAGCGTAGACTGGAGTATTCACAGAATCACAGACTCGTTTTCTGAGCCCAACCGGACCAATTCTGCTTCATATTTATCAATGAAGCATTACAAAAGAATCAAATAACACTTAATTATCAACGTGAAGAAAATGCTCCAAAATGAAGCTGTTATAATGGGGATTTTGTCAGGGTACTCAATAATGACAATAACAGGTCAAATAACTGCTTTTAAGCATTCAATCATTTTCTTCTTTATTTGGTCTCAAACGCGATAAATATTGTGATTAAGGCTTTTTCATTTGTTCTATAAATATATATTTCCTTAACATTGAAATAAAACTCCCACATAGAATGAAAAAGAATATCAAGGTTATTATTAGGTTTTTCTGTTGGTCAACTCGTAAATTCACCCCAAATGAAAATCATTGTTATTTTGTTGTAAACAAATCATTTGATAAACATGAAATAGAAACAGAAGAACGTTTTACATTATCACTAAATTGCATAATCAAACCTGCCGATCAGAACTGTTTTACAGAGGATAAATAAAACTGCCTCAAATATCTGTCTAACTATAAATTGTTATCGGCAATTACTACATACTACAAAGTGACATTATATTTAAAAAAGGATGCATTAAATCACATGATGTATTGATTATTCTTTGTCCGATATGATTATAATCCTGGAGCATGTAGTGACGTATCGTAGTCTTCTTATTTCTCGTCCCTGCACCAGGGCGATGAGATGGACCCGTTCCAGGAGCTGATGGACGAGCAGCGCTACCCGGCAGAGGTCACCATGCCCAGCCCCAAACACCACAAGTACCCGCCCTGCAAGGAGGGCAAGAAGGAGCTCATCACGTAAGAACCAACTCTACTTGGTCATGGATCCGAAACCTTAGAAACACAGACACACTGCTGATTGAAGGAATTATTATATTGTTGTACAACACTATAAGAGCCAGAATACTTGCGTCAAGTCCGCCAAGAGTCTGTCTGAAGAATAACAGAATCTCACAGGTTTTATACACTTTCGACCTTTTACAATCACATGTTAGGAGACCCTATGCTCAATGACACGCTGCACAGACATGTTTATGTTAATGGTACAAAAGTATCTTTAAATAAACTAAAGGATGAAACTCAAGAGCATGGCTTACAGCACATGATTACATAATATAGATTATTTCAACAACTTCAACCCTGAATAACAAGCTTAAATACAAGCCAAGAAGACTTCAAGATGTCGTCCCATCATGGGAAACATTATCTGACTTTCATCGTCAAGTCAAAAGTCAAAGTCAACTTTATTGTCAATCTTTCAGTTTGTGTGTACAGACAGAGAGATCGAAATACCGTCTCCCACAATCCAGAATACAAAATATAAATATGTATACAAATATGTATATACCTATATATATATATATATATATACACAATCAACAGACACATTTATACATATGCACACATTAAGATAAAAGCACAACAATCAATCAGTCACTTCGTTATTATTTGAGGAAAGTTAGACCAGTCCTTAAAGGTCACCTATTATGCAAAATCCACTTTTTTATATATTTTCTACATACAGTAAACATGTGTCCCCCTCTTCTTCATGTCTCTTCTTCATCAACATGTGTCCCCTCTTCTTCATGTCTCTTCTACATCAACATGTGTCCCCTCTTCTTCATGTCTCTTCTTCATCAACATGTGTCCCCTCTTCTTCATGTCTCTTCTTCATCAACATGTGTCCCCTCTTCTTCATGTCTCTTCTACATCAACATGTGTCCCCTCTTCTTCACGTCTCTTCTACATCAACATGTGTCCCCTCTTCTTCATGTCTCTTCTTCATCAACATGTGTCCCCTCTTCTTCATGTCTCTTCTACATCAACATGTGTCCCCTCTTCTTCATGTCTCTTCTTCATCAACATGTGTCCCCTCTTCTTCAAGTCTCTTCTACATCAACATGTGTCCCCTCTTCTTCATGTCTCTTCTACATCAACATGTGTCCCCTCTTCTCCATGTCTCTTCTACATCAACATGTGTCCCCTCTTCTTCATGTCTCTTCTACATCAACATGTGTCCCCTCTTCTTCATGTCTCTTCTACATCAACATGTGTCCCCTCTTCTTCATGTCTCTTCTTCATCAACATGTGTCCCCTCTTCTTCATGTCTCTTCTTCATCAACATGTGTCCCCTCTTCTTCATGTCTCTTCTACATCAACATGTGTCCCCTCTTCTTCACGTCTCTTCTACATCAACATGTGTCCCCTCTTCTTCATGTCTCTTCTTCATCAACATGTGTCCCCTCTTCTTCATGTCTCTTCTACATCAACATGTGTCCCCTCTTCTTCATGTCTCTTCTTCATCAACATGTGTCCCCTCTTCTTCAAGTCTCTTCTACATCAACATGTGTCCCCTCTTCTTCATGTCTCTTCTACATCAACATGTGTCCCCTCTTCTCCATGTCTCTTCTACATCAACATGTGTCCCCTCTTCTTCATGTCTCTTCTACATCAACATGTGTCCCCTCTTCTTCAAGTCTCTTCTACATCAACATGTGTCCCCTCTTCTCCATGTCTCTTCTTCATCAACATGTGTCCCCTCTTCTTCAAGTCTCTTCTACATCAACATGTGTCCCCTCTTCTCCATGTCTCTTCTTCATCAACATGTGTCCCCTCTTCTTCATGTCTCTTCTTCATCAACATGTGTCCCCTCTTCTTCATGTCTCTTCTTCATCAACATGTGTCCCCTCTTCTTCACGTCTCTTCTACATCAACATGTGTCCCCTCTTCTCCATGTCTCTTCTACATCAACATGTGTCCCCTCTTCTTCATGTCTCTTCTACATCAACATGTGTCCCCTCTTCTTCATGTCTCTTCTACATCAACATGTGTCCCCTCTTCTTCATGTCTCTTCTACATCAACATGTGTCCCCTCTTCTCCATGTCTCTTCTACATCAACATGTGTCCCCTCTTCTTCATGTCTCTTCTACATCAGCACGTGTCCCCTCTTCTTCACGTCTCTTCTACATCAACACGTGTCCCCTCTTCTCCATGTCTCTTCTACATCAACATGTGTCCCCTCTTCTTCATGTCTCTTCTACATCACACATGTGTCCCCTCTTCTTCATGTCTCTTCTACATCAACATGTGTCCCCTCTTCTCCATGTCTCTTCTACATCAACATGTCTCCCCTCTTCTCCATGTCTCTTCTACATCAACATGTGTCCCCCTCTTCTTCATGTCTCTTCTACATCAACATGTGTCCCCTCTTCTTCATGTCTCTTCTACATCAACATGTGTCCCCTCTTCTTCATGTCTCTTCTACATCAAACATGTGTCCCCTCTTCTCATGTCTCTTCTACATCAACATGTGTCCCCTCTTCTTCATGTCTCTTCTACATCAACATGTGTCCCCTCTTCTTCATGTCTCTTCTACATCAACATGTGTCCCCTCTTCTTCATGTCTCTTCTACATCAACATGTGTCCCCTCTTCTTCATGTCTCTTCTACATCAACATGTGTCCCCTCTTCTTCATGTCTCTTCTACATCAACATGTGTCCCCTCTTCTTCATGTCTCTTCTACATCAACATGTGTCCCCTCTTCTTCATGTCTCTTCTACATCAACATGTGTCCCCTCTTCTTCATGTCTCTTCTACATCAACATGTGTCCCCTCTGTGGAAAGAGACTCTGAAAGTTTCAGGAACAAAGATTCTCTCTCTTTTTGATCCATTTCTATAAAAACCTGTCTGAAAATGAGCTGATCAGATTTTGGCCACTTTATGATGTCATAACGATGTGTTGGCTTGTGTAACCATTAGCCAATCAGCAACCAAGGTAACCCCCCCCCCCTTATCACCTGAATCTCCTCCTAGAGCACCATTGAGTTCTTTGTAACCAAATGTCTCTCAGAGGGGCGTGGGGAGGGGCTCCTTATTTTCATCTAAAGTAACAGACAGAGAATCAGCACTTTGGAAACAGGGCTGAAACAGAGGGGGTTATGGGTAATGCTGCAATGATCTGCTTGGGGTTTCAGCCAATCAGAGACAGGCTCTGGATATATCTGAGACCTGTGATATATTGATGAAGAACAGTTTAATAGGGGACCTTTAAAAAGTTTCTGTGTTTAAGTTTTAGTAAATACACGCTTCAAAGTCAGGCTGAATCATTGTAAATATTGAATTATTGTAAATATTGTTTGTCTCTCTTCTCCTCCCGCAGGTTGTCGAGCTGCCAGCTGGCCGACAAGAACATCCGCGGGATGATGAGTCCTAACGCACAAGAACTCAGGTGATTCTTCAGTTTGAAATACTCCGAGCATGTTCAGAGCATGGCTGCAGTCAAGACCACTAAGCGAGACCTGGGCTGCGGTCAAATACTCAAAATACGTTTGTCCTACAGGAAGTGTTTTCCTAACCGCTTTTCCAAAAGATCAATAGGTCAAAAGGACGACTGCGGGGCGAAGAGATCGACTTCAGAGACTATGGAGATGTCGGTTTGTTTTAAAAGAAAATGAGCACATCCAAAACGACGCCATTTGGCCAGCTACCTTTTCACAGTTGCTCGAGAGCTCATTGACATTCCGTTGAACATCTTTCCTACATTTTTTGGAGTAACGAAAACAAAAAAGAAAAGAGAAGGGACTGGAGAAAATGAAATAATAAACCATCAACATTAAAGCCATGGATTTGGATTTATAGCCACACATGCCAAGCATCAATTTGTCACTGTTTTAGGTTTTATTCAGGCAATGCAAGGTAAGGCTTGGAGACCAGACCAAACCAGACCAGACCAAACCAGACCAGACCAAACCAAACCGGACCAGAACGGATCAGAACAGACCAAACCAGACCAGACCAGACCAGAAGAGACCAGACAAAACCAGACCAGACCAAACCAAACCGGACCAGAACGGATCAGAACAGACCAAACCAAACCGGACCAGAACGGATCAGAACAGACCAGACCAGACCAGACCAGAAGAGACCAGACAAAACCAGACCAGACCAAACCAGACCAAACCAGACCAAACCAGACCAGAAGAGACCAGACAAAACCAGACCAGACCAAACCAGACCAAACCAGACCAGAAGAGACCAGACCAAACCAAACCGGATCAGAACAGACCAAAGCAGACCAAACCAAACCAGACCAGACCAGACCAGAAGAGACCAGACAAAACCAGACCAAACCAAACCAGACCAAACCAGACCAGAAGAGACCAGACCAAACCAAACCGGACCAGAACAGAACGGATCAGAACAGAGCAAACCAGACCAAACCAAACCAGACCAGACCAGACCAGATCTACACATTGAAGGACATTCAATAATCTGACCAAGACTAACAGAAAACCAGGATTTAAATACAAGCTGAAACTAACGAGGGGATGAAGTGCGGCTAAAGCAAGGACAGACAAGCAAAACAGGCGGGAAAACACTCAAAGACAGGAAGTAACAAGACACAGTGGGAGAGAACTTCAAAATAAAACAGGAATCAGATCAAAAACAAGGATCTTGACATAGAAAAGTTTGTACATCTAGCACAGTTAGTTAGGAATCTTCCCAAGAAAGATGGATTCCAAGATGATTTGACCGCAGACCTTCAAAATAAAACAGGAAATAGATCAAAACAAGGAACTTGACATAGTTAGCATTAAAACAATTCGTACAGCTAATACAGTTCGTTACGAATCATCCTCATAAAAATTTATTCTAAGATGATTTGACCGCAGACCTTCAAAATAAAACAGGAAATAGATCAAAACAAGGATCTTGAAAGAAAGATGGATTCCAAGATGATTTGACAGCAGACCTTCAAAATAAAACAGGAAATAGATCAAAACAAGGATCTTGACATAGTTAGCATTAAAATAATTAGTACAGCTAATTCAGTTCGTTAGGAATCATCCTAAACATTTTTATTCTAGCATGATTTGACCGCAGACCTTCAAAATAAAACAGGAATCAGATCAAAACAAAGATCTTGGCATTGTTAGCATTAAAACAATTCGTACAGCTAGTACAGTTCGTTAGCAATCTTCCCAAGAAAGATGATTTGACCGCAGACCAGGCCTGGATGGTGGTAAATTCAGGGCCGTTTTTTAACGCTTCTGTTTGTGCCTCAGGTGTCCGACCCCCGGCTGCGATGGATCTGGACACATCACTGGAAACTATGCCTCCCACAGGAGGTGCAGTAACCACGCTTTAGACAACAACTGGCTGCAGTCATGCTTGGAGATGCAACAAATGAAATAATCAGTACTCCCCTGTACCGGTTTTTATATATATGTGTGTCTTCTGTCCCGCAGTTTGTCCGGTTGTCCACGAGCCAAGAAGAGCGGCATCAAAATCCTCCACAGCAAAGAGGAAAAGGACGACCAGGAGCCAATCAAGTACGATTTGTTATCTTTTAATATGAATAATGGGAAGTTTCAGCAGGGAACTTTGAATAGTACCCTCCGAAAAGTATCTTTGCCATCATTTTATTCCATCAATGGACTAAATAAGGCTCTTAAATGAGCTCCTTACCTCTCTCTTGCCCCTTTCACACCAACGCGTTTTCAGCTCCGGCTCGGAGCTGGAGCCTGAAAAGTACCGGTTTTTCCTGTTCACACCGCAGAGGCGCCGCCTCTTAGCTCCGGAATCCGGTTCACTTCCAGCTCCAAAAAATTGTCGGTCTAGAGGCAAGAGCTTCGGAGCTAAGAGGCGGCGTCGCTTACGTCTCTCTTACGTCGAGGCGGGTTGAAGTAGATGCTGAAGACCACAAAGAAGTCTTGCATTTCGCATGTGATGTTTGTAAAGTTCCAAGTAAAGTCGTCCCTTGTAAAGTCGTCCGATGCCTTCCATTTCGTTTCGTAAGAGGATAACCGAGGCGAACAGCGCTTCGATACAATCGGCCATTGTTGTTGTTGTCGATGTGAGGGATTTCCGCGCGGTTTGGATTTTATGAAGCAGCCACGTAAACGGTGACGTCATGACGCAGCAGCGGCAGCTCTGGGCGGTGTGAACAGAGCGGGAGCAGAAAAGGGGAACCGGAGCTGAACCAGAAAAGCTCCCGCTCGGAGCCAGAAAGGGAAAAGCGCTGGTGTGAAAGCCGCATAAGATGGAAGAGAGCCAGAAACCTTCATCACATCCATTATGACCCCGAGCGGTCGAGCAGGAAAGGACAAACAGAATGACGATGAAAACCAGTTAATTTTGTGACATTAATGAGAGAGAACATTTCATTTGTTGAGGAGATATCAAGCATTTATGACATACTTTGGTTTGGAAACCAGTTGCCTGTTTACACTTCCAGCAGACACCTATTCAAATCAGGATTCATTTGTAGGAACTAGGGCTCTCAGTCGATTCAAATAGTTAATCGCAAATTAATCGCACATTTTTGATCTGTTCTAAATGTACCTTAGAGGAATATTTTTCAAGTTTTTAATACTCTTATCAACATATGAGTGGACAAATATGCTTTATGCAATTTTTTATTATTATTTGAACAATGACAAATATTCTCATGAATATTAAACACAACAACCTGGAACCTCTCTCATACAATAATACAATAGTGTGTGTGTGTGTGTGTGTGTGTGTGTGTGTGTGTGTGTGTGTGTGTGTGTGTGTGTGTGTGTTAGGGTTGCCAACTTCCAGAAATGGAAAAACGGGACACAGGCATGTGTCTCCCGTGCGCGCGAAGATGTTCGGGTTTCTGGCGGATTTAGTTACTTTTTTTTGTTACTTTATTTCGGTTTTAGGGTTATGTTATTTAATTATTTTGGGGGAGCCAGCCCCCTAGCGTTCGAGGGGTCAACCCCCCAAAACCCTCAAAATGCATAGAAAACTATGCATACCTATAACACAATACAAACACAATGGTCTTACACCTGCATTAGGCTACTACATCACATTGTACATCAGCATGTTCAAATCGGATAGGTGGGCACTAGGGACATCTGGGCACCTCGATGTACAATTGGCTATTTTGTCCAAAATGTTAAAAAATAAATATTTGAAAAATTGTATTAAGTAATGCAAAGTATACATGATGTGAACATGCACGGTACATCATTATTAGACTTAATGTTATCCTTCAACCAACCATTTTCCCATCAATCAGCTGACTGACTCTCACACACACACACACACACACACACACACACACACACACACACACACACACACACACACACACACACACACACACACACACACACGCAGAAGACCCGAGACAGATCTCCACTCACGGGCTTTACCCAACTGTGTTTTTCTTCCACTGTTTGTTGTAAGACACAAGTCTTTTCTTTTTAGAAGGGCCCAGAACCACTTCCTCTCTCTCTTCTCCTCTTTCATCATCACCTCCTCCACCGGCAGCGCTCATTTCCCCACACGACTGAACAGGCTGACATGCCACACAAACAGTGATGCCGCGCCCGCGGCCCACCGGAGAAAATCTCACACACACACGTGCGAGCATTGTGCCTGCCCTGTCAACTGAGCGGTCCTAGCGCCCTCTTCGGATACAGCACACAAACACACAGGCACGCAGCCAGACACACTGCATTGCGCGCAAACAGAAACATATTTTTTATTTTTCCCTTTACACGGGAATCCGGGACAAACAAAGTCCCGTACGGGACACGCCCCTTTTGGCTCAAATACGGAACGTCCCGGCTAATACGGGATGGTTGGCAACCCTAGTGTGTGTGTGTGTGTGTGTGTGTGTGTGTGTGTGTGTGTGTGTGTGTGTGTGTGTGTGTGTGTGTGTGTGTGTGTGTGTGTGTGTGTGTGTGTGTGTGTGTGTGTGTGTGTGTGTGTGTGTGTGTGTGTGTGTGTGTGTGTGATGGATCGTTGGAGCTATGTGCAACTCAACTCGAACGGGAGCTGCCTGGACGCTGCAATCATGTTGCACTATCCGTGCTGAGTGTTCGTACAATGTCCCACTGTCTGGCTTCCTGCATAAAGTCAAATGCTCGGCGCAGTTGTGGCGAAATGTCGCTCCTCTGTTTTAATTGAAACAGCTCTTTATATCCGTTAGCGCAGCTAGCTAGCACCAGATGCTAACAACAACAATGCACGTAAGGTCTCTCTCTCGCTCGCTCGGGTCACACACACACACCCTCCCGGTCCTCCCGATGGCCAGTCGGTGCCTGCCGGTGAGCGTGGAAGTGTGGTCTGCCACAAGCGGGCGGCAGGAGCGGGGCTGTCAGCATCAGCTTGTAGATGGTATTTTAAACTCGATGCGCTCTGAAACTACGGGGCGGCCGAGGACAAACAATACACATGCGTTAATCGCGTTAAAATAATTAGTGGCGTTAATTTTTTTGTTGCGTTAACGCGTTATTAACGCGTTAACTTGACAGCCCTAATAGGAACGTTTCGGACAATTTGAGGATTCAAAGTCTACTATGGTCTCCCCTCACGTTGACAAGATTCAGATACTGTACTTTAGTTGTATGCTCGATTAAGTTGCAACAAGCTTTGCACACTTGGGTCGTTTTCTAAATCAATATTTTTACTTTAATACAACCTGCGGCTGCGTTTTTGCCCGGATAGTGTCAATAAAACAAAAACAGCTGCCTTTTGCTGCTGGAAAAACGTGGACATATTACTTATGACGATTAATTGATTAATATCATTCTTGTATCTGTCTCTGTTGACTAATTGATGAGTAATTTAACTTGAAAATGTACCAACAAATCTGCCCCTTAGAACATCTGTATTGATACCGTTTTCCTAACTTTATAACTTCAACATTCATATTTCCTATGAATATATAAAGAGATATAAAAATAGCCTCATTACAATGACAGTTCTCGGACAGATCCATCCATCCACTGTCTCTTACAATGCGCCCGTGTGCACTGACCTTTCTAACTTTGGGAGGGAATATTTTAGAGAGGATCTACAGTCAGTTTTCACTTCACGTTTCCCAGCAGACCCGATCCACTAAAGGTTAGCACTAGTGAGCGTTTGACATTTCCCTTAAAGCAGATCCGTAATGCTAAGACAAAACGACCTTGAGAATCTAAGTTCAGCGGGTGTCAGTCTGCGGCCAGCTGTTGCTGCTCCGTTGTTAACGGTGGATAATAATTAAGCTCAGCTCAGGCTCATTTTTAATCAGAACAAATGTCACAAAGGAAGGCGTTTAGGGAGAAGCAACGGAGGCTGGAAATTGAGGAGGTGTCATCTGCAGAGCAAGCTGAGTGCGTCCTGCTCATCTTTGGGGCCTTGGAAATGACCGTATTGACCCGAATATTAGAAGACCCCTCTTTTTCAAGACCCATTTTTGGAAAAATACCTTTTTTTTGCTCTGGGAAGTGCTTTTCTCTCACTGTTTACATTTTAAGGCAGTCTTTTTGGGCTCTCCATCTTCTCACGGTACACTCAGTAACACCATATTTATTTGCTGCTCCACAGTTGTTTGATGACTCTGCTTCGCTGATCACCATTATCTTAAAATTGGCATCGTAACTTCGCCTCTCTTGATTATTAACTCGGCTACTTTTGAGCCACGTTGTTCGAGTTGGTCTCTAGCTCTCTCCTGTTGCTGTTACCGTACTTTAAGACAGTGTCTCGCTTGGGGGAACACTCGTTTGACTCGATCTGTAGTTGTGACTGTTGTGAATTTAAGACGACCCCTCTTTTCCAGATTTTTTTCTAGGAAAAAAAAACCGTCTTATATTCGGGTCAATACGGTAGTTGTGACCTCCCTCCTCCATTACAAGTGTCCCGAACAGACACTTTGGAAAAATCTGCAGCGGTTTTTCATATTATAGCTCAGTAACTCAAACATATTCTATTGAAGCCTTCCGAGTAAATCGCCAGAACGCCGACACCTCCTCATCTCCACCGCTCCCATGTTTTCTTTTGTGTTGCCATAAGTTAGTCTCTCTCCGTTGGTGCGTGGGGCAAATGCTAATAATGCTAATGCCAGCAAATACAATGGCGGCTTCACAAAACTTTTCAGAGTTTTACGGGGTGTGGTTTGCAATTCGCCCAGCCAATAGAAATTGGTACTTTTTTGGTACTTTTTTGGTACCACCTCTCTAGCAGGCACTGAAAATGGGGGTAAAAGTTCCCTGCACTAAGTACTCTTTTTGGTGGGAAAAGTACGGGGAAAAGTACTCCGGTGTGAACGTACCTATTGTTGGAGGAGCTCAGGTCAGAATAATTTCATTGCCATTTCTAGACTGTAGCGTATGTGCACATGACAATAAAACCTTTGAATCTTTAATCTTTGAATCTTTGAATCTTTCTTAAAGTAAGAATCAGCTTCTACTGAAGCCAGTCCCTAACTCCGGGGACTTCCGGCCGGGGACTCCGGGTGGCAGTATACGCCGTGAAGTTGTTTGCGGCCTGCCAGTAAACCCAAAGCAGAAGAAGAAGAAGTGACGTCAGCGGCTTCATTTGCGTAATCTTCCCTCAGGGAACTTACTCCGGTGTGAACGCGATTGGTACTTAGGGCCCTGGGGTACTAGGTGCCGGCACTAAGTACGGCAAAGTACTTGGTGTGAAAGCGGCTTATGAAACATATATAATAAAAATACAAAATAAAAAAATAGTGCAAGAAGTCTACATACATGTAAATATAATATGATATGTACAAGAACAGAATTTAACTATTTATATAAATAAGAAAGCTGATAAATCTAAGGGTTTTGAGAACCCCCCAAGACTTTGACTATCTCTTACTTTAAGAAAGCTGATGAATCTAAGGGTTTCACGAACTCCCCGTGGTAGTTAGAAAAAACGAACAAATGCAACTAAATTCTGACTGTGATTAATTTCCTCTCCTGGTCTTTTTCTTCTTCCTCTTCTTCCTCTCAGGTGTCCAGTGCCGGGTTGTGACGGGCAGGGTCATGTGACGGGGAAGTACGCGTCCCACCGCAGTGCGTCGGGCTGCCCCCTGGCGGCCAAGCGGCAGAAGGACAGCTACGTGAACGGGTCGCAGTTCGTCTGGAAGTCGGGGAAGACGGACGGCATGAGCTGCCCGACGCCCGGCTGCGACGGGTCGGGACACGTCAGCGGGAGCTTCCTCACACATCGGAGGTGGGCGTGGCTCTGTGTCATTGGCTACTGTTTTAGTTTAAGGATAAGATAAGATAAGATAGGACTTTATTTATCCCGAAGGAAATTATGGTGTCATTGGCTACTCTCTTTACGATACGATACAATACATGAAAAACAATCAATAAACATTGAACATAACAGCACAATCACTGAGTGCATTTGATCTGGATTCAGCTCTGTGTTTACTTTGAGTTTTCATTGGAAGATAAGATAAGATGGGCGTGGCTAATGTTTTCATTTAAATGTGCTTATGCAGATGATATGCTATAACAATGACTTCCTAGGCAGTAGCTGTTCATTTGTACTGTAGGATATGACCAATAACATGACCAATAACAATGGGAAATTACCAATATGCAGAATATAAAATACAAAAACTGATAATTTATTGATCAGTTATTAGAAATGTACTTGTAGTAGTAACACAGACAATTTGATTTGAACGCTAAAAGACTATAAAACAAGTGGAACTGTCGTTGAACGTTTAATCAGCTAGCACAGATTTGTACATTTTGCAGCAAATTGATAACCCATAGCAGTCAAGTTTTCGTCAATGTATGCCTGTGTGTGTGTGTGTGTTTTATTCCAGTCTCTCTGGTTGTCCCCGTGCCACCTCGGCCATGAAGAAGGCGAGGATGAGCGGCGTGGAGATGCTGACAATCAAGCAAAGAGCAAGCAAAGGTCAGAGTCAAACGCAATAAAAACAATTTAAAAGAAGAAGAAAGATCGCAGCTTCTAAATCTGATGATATTTTTGGTGTCAGGCATCGAAAATGATGAAGAAATCAAACAGCTGGATGAAGAAATCAAAGATCTGAACGAGTCCAACAATCAAGTGGAGTCCGACATGATAAAACTGAGGACACAAGTAAGACCCTTTTCGACTGATTCAGATAAATAGATTAGGTGTATGGGTTAATGCTCCTTTGGAAACCTGATTCAAATAAACCAGAGTCTAGTGACAGACTAAACATGTGTATTAACTGTTTAACTATTGTCAGTATTAAGGGTTTATAACGTTAATATAGAAAAACAATTGTGAAGGGAATTTCACTAAATCAGACTGTATGCAGATGATGCAGCCTTTTATATTAATGGTCAGCCAGCCATTGTTTACCATAGGTAGAGAAAACTAGGCTTTAATCAAAACAGGTTTATATATGAAATTCAATCTCTACTCAGAATAAAAATGTACAGGAAAGAATCAGAACATGACAAACTACTGTGAAAAATGTGCAGATATTTGAAAAGTGGTCGTATTGTTCAGAAATGTGCAAAATTGTTGAAGTAAATGCTGCTGACAATTGTTTTCCTCACATGGCAGGTCACTACGATGGAGACGAACCAGAGTCTAGTGAAAAATGTGTATTAACTGTTTAACTATTGTCAGTATATATATCCTTTATTTAACCAGGTAGAAGACTAATTGAGATTAACATCTATTTTCCAAGAGTGACCTGGCCAAGCAGGGCAGCATGTACGAAGTTACAACAGATAAAACACAGACATGACAGGCAGACAAATACAGCTATAAAACACAAATAAAATTAAGGGTTTATGACGTTAATATAGAAACAAGTTGTAACGGGAATTTCACTAAATCAGACTGTATGCAGATGATGCCGCCTTTTACTGGAAGAGCTTGCAAAATATTACAAATGATTAAATAGCAGCTGGCTTTTGTTTAGCACATCTGTAGACAGAACAGGCTTATATGACTAGATATCATATTTTTACTGGAAATAAACATTTACAGAAAAGAATAAGAACATGAACTAAACTACTGTGAAAACTAGGGCTGTCAGTCGATTCAAATAGTTAATCGCGATTAATCGCAAATTAATCGCACATTTTTTATCTGTTCTCAATGTACCTTAGAGGAATATTTTTCAAGTTTTTAATACTCTTATCAACATATTAGTGGACAAATATGCTTTATGCTAATGTTTATTATCATTAGAACAATGACAAATATTCTCATGAATATTAAACACAACAACCTGGAACCTCTCTCATTCAATAATACAATATAAAGTGTGTGTGTGTGTGTGTGTGTGTGTGTGTGTGTGTGTGTGTGTGTGTGTGTGTGTGTGTGTGTGTGTGTGTGTGTGTGTGTGTGTGTGTGTGTGTGTGTGTGTGTGTGTGTGTGTGTGTGTGTGTGTGTGATGGATCGTTGGAGCTATGTGCAACTCCAGGCATATGCTCGAACGGGAGCTGCCTGGACGCTGCAATCATGTTGCACTATCCGTGCTGAGTGTTCGTACAATGTCCCACTGTCTGGCTTCCTGCATAAAGTCAAGTGCTCGGCGCAGTTGTGGCGAAATGTCGCTCCTCTGTTTTCATTTAAACAGCTCCTTAGATCCGTTAGCGCAGCTAGCTAGCACCAGATGCTAACAACAACAATGCACGTAAGGTCTCTCTCTCGCTCGCTCGGGCCACACATACACACACCCTCCCGGTCCTCCCAACAGCCAGTCGGTGCCTGCCGGTGAGCGTGGAAGTGTGGTCTGCCACAAGCGGGCGGCAGGAGCGGGGCTGCCAGCATCAGCTTGTAGATGGTATTTTAAACTCGATGCGCTCTGAAACTACGGGGCGGCCGAGGACAAACAATACACATGCGTTAATCGCGTTAAAATAATTAGTGGCGTTAATTTTTTTTTGCGTTATTAACGCGTTAACTTGACAGCCCTAGTGAAAACACATATTTGAAAAGTGGAAGAAAGTGGTCGTATTGTTCAGAAATGTGCAAAATTATTTAAAAAAAAGTAAATGCTGCTGACAATTGTTTTCCTCTCATGGCAGATCACCTCGATGGAGACGAACCTGAAGTCCATCGAGGAGGAGAACAAGGTGATCGAGCATCAGAACGACTCGCTGCTGCACGAGCTTGCCAACCTCAGCCAGTCGCTCATCAACAGCCTCGCCAACATCCAGCTTCCACACATGGTGAGAGCAGAGGTGGGAAGTAGTGGAGTACAAATACTTTGTTACTTAAATACATGTTTCTGGTATCAGTACTTTACTCCACTACTTATTTTTCTGACGACTTTTTACTTTGACTTCTTACATGTTGAACACAAATACCTGTACTTTCTACTTCTTACATGTTGAACACAAATACCTGTACTTTCTACTTCTTACATGTTGAACTCAAATACCTGTACTTTCTACTTCTTACATGTTGAACTCAAATACTTGTACTTTCTACTTCTCACATGTTGAACTCAAATACCTGTACTTTCTACTTCTTACATGTTGAACTCAAATACTTGTACTTTCTACTTCTCACATGTTGAACTCAAATACCTGTACTTTCTACTTCTTACATGTTGAACTCAAATACCTGTACTTTCTACTTCTCTCATTTTCCAAACAGCTGGTTCCTTTAGTCTGAATGTGTGTTTGATGCGTGATCATTATTCTTTAGAGTCATTGCGTGCCTATTGATTTGAACACGATCCGTGTATCCATCATTTCCTGGTCTTCTCTAAAGAAGAGGGACCAATGGAAACGTTGTCATGTTGCCGTTGTTCAGCATGGAAACATTCATTAGCTAACAATGACATTATTGTTCTATTAATATAAAGGGAGGTCAGGTACTCTTTAAAGCAGCTGGTAGTTATGGGTACTTTTTACTGAAGTACTTTTCAAAGCCTCTTTACTTTGACTTGAGTTAAGAAGTTTAGTCAGTACTTCTACTTTTACCAGAGTATTTTTAAATACCAGTATCTGTACTTCTACTTGAGTAAAGGATGTGTGTACTGTTGCCCTCTCTGGGTAAGAAACATCTTAAATAAGATAAGATAAGATAAGAAGTACTTTATTGATCCCAATTAGGGGAAAGTTTGCGTTGCAGCAGCATAAAAGGAAAAGGCATTGTACATAAGAGAAATGAAAAGACTATAAATAAACAAATAAAATGTAATCATCTCAAATAGAAATAAAATAGCATGAAAAAATAAATATACATTTGGAAATACAAATGTACACTAACAAATAAAAAGCAAGATATTATATATACATTAATTGTGCAAGAAATTGATTATTAAATATTAGATTGAATATAAATGTACAGTGGGAGTTTAAGTCCAGTTATCCAAGAGAAGCTATATGCACCTCGATGGTAAAAACCATTCACATGACTTCATTGTAATGGCTTCGTCAAGTTAGACCTTGAACTAATTCTGCTGCGTTTGTGCATCAAGCCTTGGCCTGAGGAAGTAAAAGAAAATGTTTTTGATAAGTAACGAAACATTTAAAAGCTTCGAAATAAATATATTCTAGAATATAGACTCATCAGCTTTGCCTTTGATTAATTTCTGACAAATGTTATCTAACAGATGAGGTTAGGGTTAAAAGAGTGGTAAAAATATAACATATCAGGTCATATTTTGTTGCTTTTCCATTGAAGAAAGTATACTTTTTATGACTTAATAATGTACTAAATATTGTCTATATAGTATATTATCCGATAGATCTTCTGTTAGATGTCTTTCTGTTTCTTGCCTATAGCCATATTTTAATGACATCTCTTGTAGGACAGTAGAGATTCAGACTAATCTGATGCCAGCTAACATCTGTAAAGGACTTTAATCCAGGGAGGTGTTAAAGTCTATAACAACACTCAGGGTTTTTTCCTCATCTGCTTCTTTCTGTTCACCACCTTCTTCTTTTTTCCCAGCGGCCCATGCTGTGCTTCTTCTTCTGTGCTTTACAACGCCTCACAGAGTTTCACATTAACAAACGGCCTCGTCTCTTTTCAGTTTGAGTGATGGCTGTTTTTACATCATAATGTCTCAGTGAGAAAGAAGACTGGGGCTAATTGGATAATCTCTTGTAACATAGTGTAACCCTAACGTTACCTGGTAACTAAAGCTCTTTTGCTTTTGTCCTTCTAGTACTGGGGGACAGCACATTCAGTTTTAACAAGGAATTTGATCGTTATCCCTCCTGATTCCACAATACATAAATAAATATATATAGTTGCATCTAAATTCCTCAGATTTGTCGATTTGCGTTGGACAGTTTTCAGAAAATACCAAGCTGCATCTAAGGCTTAATTCACCCTTCTAAACTTTGTGTAACCGTTCAGATGTACTCTAGGATAGGTATTTTAGTTTTAGGGCTCAAAAAGAGTCTTTTGTTTTCAAGATTTATAGTTGTGGAAGCTCTCAGCTGCAGTTTGAACAGAGCCGGAGGGATAATGACTTGTTGAGGCGGACGTTTTTAGTATTTTTCCCTCAGTGTAGCGATGAAGCCTTGTGACGCCACTGTGTGTCCAGCGGGATAATAGACTTCTCTGTACACCCTCTCCTGTAGAAACCGCTGCCACAGAAAGAGGCCCCAGTAAAGCATAACTGCTGTTTACAGATGCCTCCCAGAGTAAGAGATCCATTTATCCTTTATCCAATTATCCTTCTCTTCTGCACTGTCATCCCTTCCCTCCCAACTACCCATTTGAACTGCTGGTTACAAGAGTTTAGTGTAATTGTTAAACATTTGGATTTTGTACGAGACAGTGTTGTTACTTTCCACAGAAAGCACGAAACACCAGGCAATGAATATAGCCATTAGTTGTAAATCTTGAGGTGTTGAATTGTCTACTATGTACGTCATTCTTTGAGAAATTGAACTAAAAAAGCACACAAGAAGGAAAAAGAAAGGGCCCTATTATCGCGCCTTGAGGAATGCCACCATTTTGAAACATTACTTTGCTTTTCCAAAGAAACAGAAATCTTGATTTATTTCCAGTAGAACTTTCCAGTAAAACCCGTTCAAAGTTGTTTCAACACTAGTGCTTGTTTGCTTTGACACTAGTGTTGAACTCAAACAGTAAGGCTAGTAATGAGGACGACAATTCTCTGTTATTTAGACATTTCTTCACGTCCAAAACTCGCCGAACCTCCAGTTGTGTCCTTCATCGTCACATACATCTTCCATTAGTTTTCAAAATCCTGATTTTGTCTCCATATGCTAAACATAAACCTTCCATCCATCCACTAGCCAACCATCCCTCTCCTGATTTGTGCATGAGTTGCTTTTCGTAGACGTTCACAGGATGAAGTATAGATATTAAAAGAGAGATTTAAACGTTATTAAAAATGAAATATTTGTGTAAATAAGCCATGCTTCCCTGATGGTAATCCCTTCCTCCCTTGCTTCCCGCTTGTCCTCCAAACCTTTTCCCAAAATGTTTCACAGACACTGATTCTGTCGAAAAACACAAACTCTAATCCCTCTGATTGTTTGTTTCTTCTTCATGGGTTTCTTTTCCCTCGCAGGAGCCAATGAATGAACAGAACTTTGACACTTATGTGAGTACATTGACAGACATGTACACTCACCAGGACCAGTACCAGAGCCCGGAGAACAAGGCGCTGCTGGAGAACATCAAACAGGCCGTTCAGGGGATCCAGGTCTAGCCCTGGCTGAGGCCAAAATAACAAATGCAAAGCAAAAACAACAACAACAACAACAAAAAATCAAAAAGAGGGTTACGGGTTGTTTTTTGCTGCTGTAATCTACGATAGCTCTTTTAATTCTACTGCTGTTATGCTCTCAACTCCATGGGTATCTTTTTTTTTATCATTTTGATGTCGTTGCCTTGCTTTGAAAAACAACGTTTTAAACGAACATTCACGTTTTGTACATTTTCATATGACCTAATATAATGTGATGTACTGTTTATAGCTGCTAATGTATGCACATTCTAGTGTATATGTATTTATTTATTTATTGTAAGCTTGAATCATTTCTTATTTTAACGTGAAAAAACTGGGCGTCACGGGTTACATGGGGAGCAGAAAGGAAAAGGGGAAAGCTGAAGAGCAATCATTTTTGAAAGGCTTTTCTCACGAGCTGAAAACAGGTTGTTTAATGGATGTAATTCATTGATATTTGTAATGTTTGAAAACAATATTACTGTAAATCTTTAGCTAAAGTAGAAGAAGAACCGATGCTTTAAGCAAGAAGATTTCAAACATCATGACACGGAAACTTACTGGTGCAAATCCCATCATCCCCTTCGGAGTTGTTTCGTTTTAAACCGTCGCTTTTCTTTGTTGGAGAACGAAGCGGAAAGACCAATGGCTACAGAAAACGTAGGAGACAATCTGCCATTCTGAATTTCTTTTAATCATCAACCTTGAACTAGCTAATAACGCAATGTGTCAGCAATATTGGTACGATAATATTAAATTGTTGGTTTAGATATGGGATGCAATCTATATGAAAAAAAATGTTTGGGTATATGCAATTTCTTATGAATAAAACTAGCATAGAGCAGATAGATCTTTTTACTAACTATAAATGTATTGCGTTTTGTATAACCTTTTACTACAATCATGTTTTAGGAATCTGACGCGGGTGAAAGGACTTTGGTTCTGTCATGTTCGACTTTGCACAGGGACACCTTTGTTTCCATGTTTTGATGTTTTTATTGTCAATTAAGAGGCACTTGGCAGGCGTATGGATTTGTAGATATGATTTTTTCTATCTAAAGGCTGACGGCTCCACTGGACTTACAGGGTCAAACGTCCCCATCCCATCATTGTATATTGCACTCGTTCTGTAGAAAACGTCTTTTCAATCATGCATCCTATTGTGTGAGACACAATGGGAAATGATGGCAGACGACATGATGACCAAGCAGCACTTTTTATTATTATCTTTGATTGTTATTGAAAAGATGAAGAAAAACTAAGCCAGCAGTCGTGAACGCGACGTCTGCGCACTGAATTTACCGACTGAGTATTTGATCTGAATCGGCCTTACGTTGACATTCAGTCTGAAATCACAGTACTGACTGAACATGTTTTCTGAACACCGTCGATCATGCATGCACTTTATTGGAGTTTGTCAAAGTATTATCCCGTGGTAAATGAAGCAGAAACTGTACAGCGAGTTTGTGGAAACTGTGACTTTGAGCTGGTGATTCCTGGATGAAAGAACCCTGACACAGATTTAACTGAGAAGACGAGTTACTTAAAGGAAAACTCCCCCTCTGGTCCCCCTACATTGTTAACCTCCACCACTTTAAGTTTATTTTAAATCCTCTCTAAAACATTACCCTTTTCTATAAGTATTGGAAAGGCTCCTTTTCTATCCACATAACATTATGTATGGATTGTATTGCATTGGTTAATATAAGAACTGTTTCTCTTTGGTCAACCTGACGATAGAGAAATGTGAGGAGCTTGTCTCGGCTGTGTAGGGTTCCATAAAAGTAAAACTTACATGTATCTTCTGGGTAGACTATGTTTGGATACTGTCAGTTCAATTGTCAAAAGATGAACAGCTATACTCGAAACATATTTGAGTCGAAGGAACAAACCTGTCTTCGGAAAAGATAACGGTTTGTAAACTGTACCCTGTACATTATGTTGTATGTCATCATTATTGTTGTTCTGTTGTTTTTATGTTACATGTGAAACTAATGTCCTGCAGGTCACCCTTGAAAAAGAGATCTTTTGATCTCAAGGGGCTTCACCTGGTTAAATAAAGGCTACAAACACACGGTGAAAGTGAACTGCAACTCCCAAAGTGCATTTTGGGGAAACACATCCAATCACAAAGTTTAAACCCCAGCTTTCCGTGCTCACCCTAATGAAGAGTCGAAACATGAAGATTATTCTTTTTGGAAAACTACATTTTGAGTTCACTTTGAGTTATTGGGGCCTTTCTGGACGATAACTTTGGCGCTAAGCCTTTGTGACATCTGGTTTATTCTCCATAGCAACAATGGGTATATTGAAATATTTAGACCCATCCACCATAACATATTGGCGGTGAAAGATTGCGATTTCTCAAAAGCGAAATCATCAATCTGGTTCAGTGTCGAACCTCAACCTTTTCCGAAAATGAGCTCAGTTGCAGATTTCCTACTTTTTTCAGAATGCCTTTCAATGGAGAAAGGGATCAAAAGTCGTTGCAATCGCTCAAATAATAAATATACAATTATTTTTGCCCTGAGGTAGCCACCCCCAAACTTTCCATGTGACAATATGTTCAGCATTTTGTTTTCTAAATGAAGTTAGGCTAGAAGACATCAAGAGTATTTGATAATTAGGGGCTGGTTGGGCTTGAAATACACACTTTAACTCACTTTATCCAGCTCAAATGTGTAGAAAATATGTATAAATATAATTTAAAAGACATTTAAGGTGTTAACCATCCTCAACTTTGACCAAATCATGAAGATTTAATTGGTGAATGAGGAAAGGATCCGGTTTCCAATCAGTCTCCCACAGGAAGGAAAAGCAAACTTCAGACGGCTAACTGGGGGAGTTTTCCTTTAAAGATGGACTTTTACTGCAAAGCCTCATTCCCTGATTTCACATCTCTGTCCAAAGCTTTGTGTCTGCAGCTTCCTGCCAGTAAACCTCTGCATTAGATAGACTGACGGCTTGTATTTTTTATTTAGTGGGTTATTCTTAACTGAAAACAAAGGAGATGGGAGTTAAAGCACAATTCTGCCACTTAAAGACAATTCAATAGACTAGATATTGTAATATCAGATGTGAAAGCTAAACTGTAACTATTAAATAGAAAAATCTCAACACTAACATGTGACATGCTAGAATGCAAAAATAAATCCATATGAATATTTGTGAAATCATCAGTTTATGAAAATGTTAGTTTCTTTTGGGCGGTGCATTGATAAAGGGGTTTTTATACAACATTCATTTTCTCTCCTTTTTACCCCTTTCTCTGTGTCACTCGCAAAATTTCAACAACAGTTTTTCTTACCACATGGCATGGGTTTTGTTGATATTTTTGCTGTATGTTTAAGGTCACGAGTTGCTACGTGATATTTTAATTTCACTTGTGAAGTTTGTACAATTTTTATCATGCTGGTGTTGGCATCTCTTGCTCTGAATAAATCTTGTGTTGCAACACTGATTACGTCCTGTTCTTGTTATGACTTGGAAACTGATTTGAGGAAAGTTAATAATGAGCACACCTCATGAAAAGATCACACTGTTTTAGCATATTTAAGCATTATGCTGTATACTATACTGTAATATTATATTGTTCTTCCTTCGTTGTTGGTTTGAATTGCCAATAAGTAATTCATCAGGTGACCCACACTTTTAAGAGTCGTAAATGCCATTTTGGGATACACTATTTGTACTTTACTTAGATATGATACTTTATAGCCTACCTGTCCATTTAATCAGGTGTAAATATTGAACTTTTTACTTCCAAAACTGTATTGTAGGACATATACTTCACAGATCCAGATTTAAAGTGCACCTACAGTGTCATGCTATTTGTAGGCAATAGCATGGGTCTCAGATATATACAAATCTATAAAACACATGTCTATGAAGTGTTTTGCTCAAAATACCAAACAGATCATTCTAGCCATGCCTCATATCCCTCTATTTCACTTCCTGTTTCAAAAGTGCTGATTTGTGTATAAAGCTTTAAAAAAAAGAAGAAGAAATTGATAAAAAATAAAAGGAGGGGTCTGAGCTCATGCGGGACCCGGCAGCTACTGTCTAAACTAAATGCTGCGGTGATGAAACTCCATATCATGGATTACCAAGGATTCTCTCTGAAACAGTTTGGAGCTCAAAGGCTTTCTCTCTTGCCGGTTATACCACAAGGTGAGTTCCTTTTTACTTCCTGCTTCTTCACACACATGCTCTCCAGTACAGGTTAGCTCTGAGTGTTAGCGATGCTAATGTAAACACCGACCATATTACGTCCAAAACAGTCGGGCATTGTTTCTGATAGCAACTTTCTGATTGGGCCGTGGGTCCACATTTCAGATATTACGTCATATCGGACGCAAGGCCGGATTAGTACCTCCAGGGGCCCCTGGGCACTGAGCACTCATGGCCCTACCATACCCAATCCTACCAACATGACCAATATTTCGAATTTTCAGTCAATCTGGCATGTCAAATCGCACACCTATTTGTCAAAAGCAGGGACGCAGCCACATAGTTCAACCAAAGTAGGTCTAGCCTTTTGCCCTTTCAGTCAAAAATCACAAGACAAAGATACAATGGATAAGATCTCAAGACAGTGTATGGCTCAAGAAGACCTAGGTAATATCACTCAAAACATCAGAACAGCACCCCACTTAATGCCAAAATATGACTGGCTGGCTGTACAAGTACACGAGGAGTTCTATTTGTCACAAACATCGAGAGTTACAAAAGTAAAATATGTAGTGAAATTGTGTGGTTGCTCAAGGGTGGGGCTGTGATTCGGCTATACACCGCCGCCGCGTAGTAATAAAGTTGAGCGCTTACATAGTGAGACCTACAGTACAGAGACCTACAGTAATTTGACCCTATGGAAAAGCTGTGTTATTTATGGCGAAGAGTGAGTGTCATTTAAAACAATGTATGATGAGTGAGGTTGTGCCCATTATCTTGTCACTGAGGGCTCTCTTTGCTCAAGGGCCCCTGTGCACTTGCCCAGGTTGCCCATATGGTTATTCCGGCCTTGATCGGACGCAAATCTGTATCAGCTCCGTTGTACCCCCGTTTTTAGAGATTTACATATGATGAGATTTACATATGATTACACATATGTATGTATCAAAGACATCAACAAGTGCATTTTGCATGATAGGTCCCCTTTTAAAGAAGATTAAAAAATCAACTTGTGATATTTTACTGTATTTTGTCATGATGATTACCGTGATGCCAGCAGGGAAGGGAAAAGGAGTATTAAATGGATATTTCAATGTATTTTTGTCTTATATCAACATTTTAAAAAGCCTTATAATTTACTTTTGAATATGAAAACAACAAAAAACAGTAAAGCTATAATAAATAAAAAAACATGATGATTTAATTATTATGTAATCATTATAATTATTACTCAAAAAATATAATAATTAGTCCAAAAATATTATTATCATTATTGTTATTATTTTTCTTTAAATATTGTTGTTATTTTTAGTATTAAAAAAATATTATATTATAATTATTTTATGATATGCAGTAGCGGGGCTCAGACACTAGACGTCGCTAAGTTGGCGCGCTCCACTACTTTTCCCTCCTTTGTTGTACTTCCGGTTCATAAACACACCTTTTCCGGTCTGAAACACAGCGGTGAAAAACGACGTAAACAAACCGAGGAAACGTGTTTGTGTTGTGGTGGTTTGTTTAACGGTTAGTATTAACGGTTCTCGGATGAGCCGTTAGCCCGGGTTTGGTTCGTTGTTACGGTTGCGTAGTGACGGTTACCATGGTGAAGTGTGTCGTCTCGGGGTGTCCCAACCGCTCTAACGTTAACCCTGGAATCTACAACCACAGTTTGCCATCCAAGAGGTTCTTTAACTTCCCCGCAGACACAGCGAGGATCAAGGTACGTTCATATATGTCACTTATTTAATAAAGTTAATAGTCTTCTTTTCAGCAGTGTGAACCCGGGCATTTTGGTGTGGTTTCTAGGTTAAAAAATGGCCCTAAAACTTCGAAATCGACCCAGAATTAATCAAAAATAAAGCCCACCGGGAATACAAATACTGCCACTTTCTACTTAAAACAGGATTTTTTTTAATGTTAGAAATGGATTCAACATCCTCAATAACCCCCAAAACCACCTCAAAATGGTCCAAATCGGCCAAGATTTTGGTTAAATTACTAAACTGTAATTCCGTCATTATGAATAGTGGTAACTTTCCATGTGAGTTAAAGATCAAATGCAAAGCTTCCAAATATGGTACATTTTTATAGAAATGTTGTTTTTAAGACTGCCTGTATTTAAAAAAAAAAATTAAATCGAGATAATACACCCGAAAAAAAGCTTTTTATTGATACAAAACTTGACCCAAAGCCGTCTGAATTTCTGACATGACCTTCCCAGCAGCCTCCGCGCGCGTGACGTCATACATGCCAAACAGTCTCTGGACCAAACATCCCGACTCGGCAGTCTCGGTCACAAGTTTTTCGACAAGAAAACTGAATTAACATGGGTTATTGTTGTGCTTTTTGTTGTACGAACGGTGCGGGATCTGGGAGAGTTTTTCATGTATTTCCCAAAGACCAAATTATCCGCAAAAAATGGATTTTGTTAGTGAATCGTGTTGGATGGCAACCGACAAAATGGAGCAGGTTGTGTTCTGATCACTTCACGTGTGATGCATACGACGTTGATCCTGCTATCATCAAGTCTGTTGGTGCAGAAGCATTAATAGCACGTCGGAGGCTGAAACCCGGAGCCGTCCCCTCCACATTTCAGCACAAGAAACCACTGAAAGAACGAAAGAGCCGGGCGATGCAGAAACGCCAAATAATTGAGGTAAACAACTTTTGATTAGATTTCAAAGCGCACGGAGCACAGCGGATAACGCAGATAACGGAATTGCAGTTTTATTGCTTATAGAGGTGGGCACCGTTAGATTCTGTGTCTTTACGATCATAAACAATGTGTTGGATGTGGAGCTAGGATAAGTAATAAGGGCGCTAGGAGTGATAGGTTAGCATTTTTCGCTCGGGGCTAATTCACTGTTAGCATTGTAGTTTATCTGCAGCTCATTCATCGCTCCTCCACTCATAACGGAAAATGTCGAACGTCCTACAGTCGGTGATGCAGACTTCTTCTCCCATCTCTTCCTTCACTTTCCCATAGTTGTGGCAGCACTTGTTTTCTCGGCTTGTAGGCATGGTCTGGCAGTTTCCACATCTACACCAATTATCAGCACCCTCGGCCTCTTCCTCAGATGGCGAACTTGAATCTCGCCATCAGCACTTTCATCGGTGATATCAGGTGACGTTTCCTTGTATTTCCTCTTCGACATCAGAGGCTCGTATAGATATGGTTGGATGTCGACAACATACTCCAGATATTGGGTGGCCTCCGACTCAGAATCAGACATGATAGACGAAACTAAGTTGTACTATCGGCGGGAGCCGCTGCGAGCATTTTTCGCTCGGGGCTAATTCAGAGGCTCACTCAGAGCGCCTGGACTTTATTTTTCTAAACCGCTCTAAAAAGGTCAAATTTAACTTGTTTTGCATCAATCTTGATACAGGGTACTTATTATATGTTATAGTTTGGATTCCTAAAGCTTTTAGTCTATAGTCTACTCAGAATCAGACATGATAGACGAAACTAGTTGTACTATCGGCGGAAGCCGCTGTGATTGATAAGCCAGGTGGAAATATGTTTGGCACATCTGACGTCACGCGCCGCCATCTTGCGGAGGAGCGGCGGAGAAAATAAATCGTCGGACTTGGTGTTGGGGGTTGAACAAAATTAATATTGCGCATTGCCAGACTCATATTATCTCCGATTTTAATACTGCAATATCTTAGATAGTGTTGTAGCTATATGATTTCGATTGTACTGGCAATTATACAAAAAGCTTTGCATTTGATCTTTAACTGGACATTGGGGGGATTAAGAAAATGTGGGGTTGCTAAATTCAGGAAATGCTTTATGCAGATTTCAGCTCTTAGTTAGCTCTTTCCTGAACACATGTAGAATAGAGCAAGGGTTCCCAACCCCCGGTCCGCGGACCGGTACCGAGGTGTTACTGCCGGGCCGCGAAATAGCTGTGAGTTTATCGTAATATTTGCAGAATTATAAAAATATTTTATCATAATTTTTTTTTTTTAAAGTGTTTAATTTTCGCACCTATACCAGTCATATTATTTCATCCAGTAGCCTAGTTAATCTTTCACCAGAAAACCGTTGAAAATGGCTTTTATGATGTTCCGAGGGATTCGGCGGCTCAGCCTATAAGGCAGGGGTGGGGAACCTCCGGCCCCCGGGCAGTATACGGCCCGCGAGACCATTTGGTGTGGCCCTCGAGGTAATTTATAAACACACGCAAAAAAAAAAAAAAAATGAAATAAATCTAGACCGCAAAATAATTAAACAAGTGAGTGCCTGTTTTTCCTGGCCAAGGTCAGGGTCCTTGAACACAACACAAGCCTAACGTGTCATCACGTGGTTTATGTCTCGTCTGACGGGTGCAAATCTGACGGAGAGTACCAGAACGGCTCCGGGCCGGGACTTCACAAATTGCAGTACCCATAAGGAGCCATACACATGCCGCAGTTTCTGCGTGGCTGTGTTTTAGTTGTAAGCCCAGTGGCGATCTGTCATACTGATCATACAGTCAATAACTTTGTTGTTATTAGCATCTGGTTAGCTAGCTATGCTAACGAATATAAGAAGCTTTTTCTACAACCAGTGAGGTAAAGGCACATCTTTATATGATCATTATAGTTATACAAAAATAAGAGAATAAAGTAAACTGGTATTAAATACTATATGACAGTAAAAAAAAAGCTGTTATTAATAAACAAGAATACAGTTTGAAAGGAGAGTGATTTGTAAAATATCCATAAAGAAAAAGAAAATCTGCTTACAGTTCTGTTTCATCTGGGTGTTGAGAGATGTATCCATAGATCTAATGTTGCTCTCAAAGTGCACCAGATTGATGCTTTCAACTTCAACATTTAAAAAAAAATCTTCCCGGGGGAGCATGCCCCCCCCACTTAAATCATGTTCACATGGATAGGAGTCTAAATACATTTGCACACATCTTGTGTCCATATCTTTCTGTTTGGGTGGTCATGCCACAACTCTGCACGTGCATGCATGAGTCATGGCAAGATATCTGGATTAAGAGGTTGCTTTTTCTTTGCACAGCATGAAAGAAAGGTGAAATGAGTGGGCTGTGATTTTAGTATTTTTAAGCAGAGGTCAATAATTTGTACGGCCCTCGGAGGATGTTGAAAACATTGAAATGGCCCTTGAGAGGAAAAAGGTTCCCCACCCCTGCTGTAAGGGCTCAGCCTCTCGTGCGCAGAGAAAGTTACTGGTGCGCCAAGTAAGAGGAGCACACAGGAGACAACCGTTTAATTGCAGACTGTTATGTTTATGTGGGGAAATGGCAGTGCATACATTATTTGAGAGATATTTCAAACTCGGACTTCATTTTAAGGACATGTCGGCCAGGGGTGGAGAGCTATTTGTTTAAGCACCGGATTGGCAAAACAGGAGAGTCTGTAAACCAGTCTGCCTTGATCTATGAATTCATGTCCGGGACTCTCACGGTATCTGCTGCCCGCAGCTGTTTGAAGGAAAACCTCCTTCACTTCATGAAATGGCTGCAGCACCAGGAGGCAGCGGGACGTGTAACTCCGCCTCGAAGTGCAGCACCAGCGCGCCGAGAGCCGTGCCTTTTTACGCACCGCCTTCGCTGTGTTTACCTTCATCAGAACAGCTTAAGAGTGACTGCAGGCTGCTAAGTGTTAACCACACACACCTCTACACCATAGACTGCTCTACACACATCGAACTGCCCGATTACTCCCCCTTTTATTAGTTTTATGAAGGAGATGTCCATGCAGTCACCAAGGCGCATACGTGTGCGTATGCGCGTGCGTGGTGCTTTTCCCCGCTCTGTGTGTTTGTCCGACACCGGCATTTGTTTTCAAATGACCATGAACAGTAATTTACACACATCTGGCTAACTCCATAGGTAGCCTATATGCGGGTGTTCCCAAAATAAATTAGTTTAATCTTAATCTCGATGTAGTGCTAAATGCTGTCGGAGTGCATCGGAACGAACGACACTATCATAATATCTTCTGAAAACAAATGCCAGTGTCACACACACACACACACACACACACACACACACACACACACACACACACACACACACCACACACACACAACACACACACAACACACACACACACACACACACACACACACACACACACACACACACCCTGGCGACCAGACATCTCCTTCATAATACACCTTCTCCTCGTTTTCCCAGCATTCACTGGATTATCCGTAAATCATACAACTAAAACCAAAACGTTGATTTATCTGTTTTCCCGTTTTGGTTTAAAAACTGAATAACATAGTTTTTCAGAAAAAACTAAAACGACACCGGTTCTTTTTTAAACGTTGTTAATATGTTTTGGATGCATATTGTTCTAGTATTTGTTGAGGCTGTTACATACAATGAGCCTCTGTTGCTACCTGCTGCTGGTGAGTAAATATTAAAATCAGTTAAAATTGACAACCGGTCCGCGATTTTAAAATGGATCTGCCGGTCCTTGGCACAATAAAGGTTGGGAACCCCTGGAATAGAGCAACAGTAATAATGCTGGTGTTTTTGCACAATATCCTTTATTCTCTCTTCTAATCCCCCTGTCCTGTATAATCTGCATTCCTACTGTCATCATATAACACATATTTCAAAAATGTCTTCCTCCAGGTGTGGCTGGCGGCGCTGAGAGAGACGGAGAAGCAGGACTCAGCGGAGCAGAATCAAATCTGTGAGGACCACTTCCTGCCGGAGGACATCTCCACAGATGGGGTCAAAGGTGACGCCATCCCCATCATGCCCCCCTGCCTGGAGGGGCCCCTGGGGGTCATCAACCCCTGGGGGGCCGCGTCCTCTGAGGAGGAGGAGGAGGACTGTGATCAAGAGGAGGATGATGAAGAAGATGGAGGTCTGATGTACGTGGAGCCGCCGGCGCCAAAACCTCCACCAAAGCAGGTATTTATCGCTTCGTCCCCTATTATTCTGTTCTTCATCAATATATCACAGCTCTCAGATATATACAGAGCCTGTCTCTGATTGGCTGAAACACCAAACAGATCATTGCAGCATTACCCATAATCCCCTCTGTTTCAGCCCTGTTTCCAAAGTGCTGATTCTCTGGCTGTTACTTTAGATGAAAATAAGGAGCCCCTCCCCACGCCCCTCTGAGAGACATTTGGTTACAAAGAACTAGTGCTGCGTACCGGTACGCTGAACCGGTACTGGACTTGTAAAAAGTTTCGGTTCAAGTCCGGTTAAAACCGGAACGTCGGGAACCGGTACTTGGACTCGCAAAAAAACTAGCACTTACGTATATTCTCCTTCTTGTTCTAAACCATCTAAAACCTCCTTGAAGGCAGGAGAGCCTGAAAAGAGTCAAGGGAAGCTTATCAAAGTTAACAGCATTTAATTACACAAAAGATGCGGTGGTGTACAAATGAAATTGCAAAAGGAGGCGCTCTCCTCATCTCCCGTCAGCCCAGGTCAGCAGGTAGAAGAGGGCCCATTCCCAAACCGCCCCCTACACCCTACCCCTCCGTTTGCGCGTTCACACGGAGGGTCCGCCATATTGAGGGCTGTTCCAAAGCAACGAGTGTGGAGGGGGAGTGGGCTATCAAGCCCTCAAACAGCGAGTCTGCATCGTGCTGACTTGAGACCGGTCTCTACCTGACCGGAGTCACGCTGTGTGTGTCCGTCAGGAAACAAGCTGTTAACAAGTAGTTCCAGCAAACATCCACTGATAAACTGCGATGTTAACGACCTCATGATGACCTCATGTTTTTAACTTAGGATCAAACCTGTGTTTAGTCTAGAAAAAGGTAAATGTGTGCATGTTATTATAAAGTTGTGTATATTTACAGACCGTTGCAAAAACTAAGAAGCTTATAAACATCAGGTTTAAAACTAAAAGAGCTTTGAAACACAATGAAAGATGTTTGGAGTTTTATTTGAGTTATTCATTTAAACTTTTTGTCTAAGAGATGCTGATTTGAAACCGTTGTTACATGCAGTTATGGCATTTCCTGTTTCTGCCGGAGAGAGGGGAGGCCGTCCCAAAGCTTGCTGCTGTATTTACTCCCTCCGTCTGACAGGAGGAGCCTCGTTGAGCTGCGAGTGTGGCTACAGACGGAGTTCACTCCATCACGGAGGGGTAGGGTCGAGGGAGTGGTTTGGGATTGGGCCGAGATCAATTCTTAGCTTGCTCTTCCTGTTGTCATCTGAGGTCTTCTCCTATTGGCCGGCGTCGTCGGGGGGCGGGTCCAATGCTTTTTCTGTTGCTAAATTACATCATTCTGGTGTCTGTGGTTATTTAAACATTCCCTGATAAACGTTATTCAGCGTCAATAAATGAGTGCTAATCCCAGTGTGCTCAGTGTACAACATCACATGTCATTTCACCTTCGATTCACGGTTTGAAAACGTAGCATTTCGCCACATGCTAATGCTAACCGGAAGTGAAGAATTTTCAGAATAAAAGTATTAAGTTAATAGTGTGAACTCCCGTTTTTTCAGAATAAAACTGATTTAAATTAAATGGTGTATTTAATTCAAAATTACGCCATATCAACATTGATTTTAATTTCTAACAGTATGTATGTACATCACTATGTATGTAGTATGTACTGTATAATGTACACATGTAGAGTTGTAGAAAAGACATGGTGTACACAGACAGTACAGTACACTCTGACTGTACAGTCACTACAGTGTATACTGTATAGTAGGTGGGTAACAGTGTAATGCGTATACTCTACTCTACACTCTACCTTTCAGCAACGTTTTAGGGATTTAGGCTCAGGGACTGTTTGGTTACTTTAGTTTGGTAAATGAAATAAATGTTTGAGCTTTGTAGTAGTTCACTGTAGTTGCTGTCATAAGTCATTTGTAGACTAAGTGGCAAAAAGTGTTTTTTTTACATTTGTACTTTGTAGAGAAATGTAGACACAAGTTGGAAGGGAGCGCAATAAACCTGACGAGTTTGAATTTGAGTTGATTATGAGTTTATTTTCAATTGATAATTAGCTCACAATAGGTTCACTTTAGTTACTCACACAACATGACACAAGCCATGGGTTCAGGTTCAGGTCCAGACTTATAAGTCTGGACCTGAACCTGAACCTCTGGACTTGAGTCCGGACCTGAACCTGAATGTGAGTCCAGGTACGCAGCACTACAAATAACTCAATGGAGCTCTAGGAGGAGAATCAGGTGATAAGGGGGGGAGGGTTACCTTGGTTGCTGATTGGCTAATGGTTACACAAGACAACACATCGTTATGACATCATAAAGTGGCCAAAATCTGATCAGCTCATTTTCAGACAGGTTTTTATAGAAATGGATCAAAAAGAGAGAGAATCTTTGTTCCTGAAACTTTCAGAGTCTCTTTCCACAGAGGGGACACATGTTGATGTAGAAGAGACATGAAGAAGAGGGGACACATGTTGATGTAGAAGAGACATGAAGAAGAGGGGACACATGTTGATGTAGAAGAGACATGAAGAAGAGGGGACACATGTTGATGTAGAAGAGACATGAAGAAGAGGGGACACATGTTGATGTAGAAGAGACATGAAGAAGAGGGGACACATGTTGATGTAGAAGAGACATGAAGAAGAGGGGACACATGTTGATGTAGAAGAGACATGAAGAAGAGGGGACACATGTTGATGTAGAAGAGACATGAAGAAGAGGGGACACATGTTGATGTAGAAGAGACATGAAGAAGAGGGGACACATGTTGATGTAGAAGAGACATGAAGAAGAGGGGACACATGTTGATGTAGAAGAGACATGAAGAAGAGGGGACACATGTTGATGTAGAAGAGACATGAAGAAGAGGGGACACATGTTGATGTAGAAGAGACATGAAGAAGAGGGGACACATGTTGATGTAGAAGAGACATGAAGAAGAGGGGACACATGTTGATGTAGAAGAGACATGAAGAAGAGGGGACACATGTTGATGTAGAAGAGACATGAAGAAGAGGGGACACATGTTGATGTAGAAGAGACATGAAGAAGAAGGGACACATGTTGATGTAGAAGAGACATGAAGAAGAGGGGACACATGTGATGTAGAAGAGACATGAAGAAGAGGGGACACATGTTGATGTAGAAGAGACATGAAGAAGAGGGGACACATGTTGATGTAGAAGAGACACGGAAGAAGAGGGGACACATGTTGATGAAGAAGAGACATGAAGAAGAGGGGACACATGTTGATGTAGAAGAGACATGAAGAAGAGGGGACACATGTTGATGTAGAAGAGACCTGAAGAAGAGGGGACACATGTTGATGTAGAAGAGACATTGAAGAAGAGGGGACACATGTTGATGTAGAAGAGACATGGAGAAGAGGGGACACATGTTGATGTAGAAGAGACATGTGAGAAGAGGGGACACATGTTGATGTAGAAGAGACGTGGAAGAAGAGGGGACACATGTTGATGTAGAAGAGACATGAAGAAGAGGGGACACATGTTGATGTAGAAGAGACGTGAAGAAGAGGGGACACATGTTGATGTAGAAGAGACGTGAAGAAGAGGGACAACATGTTGATGTAGAAGAGACGTGGAGAAGAGGGGACACATGTTGATGTAGAAGAGACGTGAAGAAGAGGGGACACATGTTGATGTAGAAGAGACGTGAAGAAGAGGGGACACATGTTGATGTAGAAGAGACGTGAAGAAGAGGGGACACATGTTGATGTAGAAGAGACCGTGAAGAAGAGGGGACACATGTTGATGTAGAAGAGACATGAAGAAGAGGGGACACATGTTGATGTAGAAGAGACGTGAAGAAGAGGGGACACATGTTGATGTAGAAGAGACTTGATAGAAGAGGGGACACATGTGATGAAGAAGAGGGAGACATTGTGTAGAAGAGACATGAGAAGAGGGGACACATGTTTGATGTAGAAGAGACGGAAGAAGAGGGGACACATGTTGATGTAGAAGAGACATGAAGAAGAGGGGGACACATGTTGATGGTAGAAAGAGACATGAAGAAGAGGGGACACATGTTGATGAAGAAGAGGGACACATTTGATGTAGAAGAGACGTGAAGAAGAGGGGACACTGTTGATGTAGAAGAGACATGAAGAAAGAGGGACAATGTTGATGTAGAAGAGATGAAGAAGAGGGGACACATGTTGATGTAGAAGAGACATGAAGAAGAGGGGACACATGTTGATGTAGAAGAGACGTGAAGAGAGGGACACATGTTGATGTAGAAGAGGAACATGAAGAAGAGGGGACACATGTTGATGTAGAAGAGACATGAGAAGAGGGGACACATGTTGAGTGTAGAAGAGACATGAGAAGAGGGGACCATGTTGATGTAGAAGAGACATGAAGAAGAGGGGACACATGTCTGATGTAGAAGAGACATGAAAGAAGAGGGAGGGACACATGTTTGATGTAGAAGAGACATGGAGAAGAGGGGACCATGTCGACGATAGAAGAGACATGAAGAAGAGAGGGACACATGTCGATGTAGCAGAGACATGAAGAAGAGGGGACACATGTTGATGTAGCAGAGACATGAAGAAGAGGGGGACCACATGTTGATGTAGCAGAGACATGAAGAAGAGGGGACACATGTTGATGTAGAAGAGACATGAAGAAGAGGGGACACATGTTGATGTAGAAGAGACATGAAGAAGAGGGGACACATGTTGATGTAGAAGAGACATGAAGAAGAGGGGACACATGTTGATGTGTAGAAGAGACATGAAGAAGAGGGGGACACATGTTGATGTAGAGAGAGACATGAAGAAGAGGGGACACATGTTGATGTAGAAGAGACATGATAGAAGAGGGGACACATGTTGATGTAGAAGAGACATGAAGAAGAGGGGACACATGTTGACTGTAGAAGAGACATGAAGAAGAGAGGACACATGTCGACTGTAGAAGAGAATGAAGAAGAGGGGACACATGTTGATGTAAGAAGAGACATGAGAAGAGGGGACACATGTTGATGTAGAAGAGACATGAAGAAGAGGGGACACATGTTGATGTAGAAGAGACATGAAGAAGAGGGGACACATGTTGATGTAGAGGAGACATTAAGAGAGGGGACACATGTTGATGTAGAAGGAGACATGAAGAAGAGGGGACACATGTTGATGTAGAAGAGACATGAAGAAGAGGGGACACATGTTGACTGTAGAAGAGACATGAAGAAGAGGGGACACATGTCGACTGTAGAAGAGACATGAAGAAGAGGGGACACATGTCGACGTAGAAGAGACATGAAGAAGAGGGGACACATGTGACGTAGAAGAGACATGAAGAAGAGGGGACACATGTTGATGTAGAAGAGACATGAAGAAGAGGGGACACATGTTGATGTAGAAGAGACATGAAGAAGAGGGGACACATGTTGATGTAGAAGAGACATGAAGAAGAGGGGGACACATGTCGATGTAGAAGAGAGAGACATGAAGAAGAGGGGACACATGTTGATGTAGCAAGAGACATGAAGAAGAGGGGACACTGTTGATAGAGAGACATGAAGAAGAGGGGACACATGTTGATGTAGAAGAGACATGAAGAAGAGGGGACACATGTTGACGTAGAAGAGACATGAAGAAGAGGGGACACATGTTGATTAGAAGAGACATGAAGAAGAGGGGACACATGTTGATGTAGAAGAGACATGAAGAAGAGGGGACACATGTTGATGTAGAAGAGACATGAAGAAGAGGGGACACATGTTGATGTAGAAGAGACATGAAGAAGAGGGGACACATGTTGATGTAGAAGAGACATGGAGAAGAGGGGACACATGTTGATGTAGAAGAGACATGAAGAAGAGGGGACACATGTTGATGTAGAAGAGACATGAAGAAGAGGGGACACATGTTGATGTAGAAGAGACATGAAGAAGAGGGGACACATGTTGATGTAGAGAGACATGAAGAAGAGGGGACACATGTTATGTAGTAGAGAGACATGAAGAAGAGGGGACACATGTTTGATGTAGGAGAGACATGAAGAAGAGGGGGACACATGTTGATTGTAGCAGAGACATGAAGAAGAGGGGGACACATGTTGATGTAGAAGAGACATGAAGAAGAGGGGACACATGTTGATGTAGAAGAGACATGAAGAAGAGGGGACACATGTTGATGTAGAAGAGACATGAAGAAGAGGGGACACATGTTGATGTAGAAGAGACATGAAGAAGAGGGGACACATGTTGATGTAGAAGAGACATGAAGAAGAGGGACACATGTTGATGTAGAAGAGACATGAAGAAGAGGGGACACATGTTGATGTAGCAGAGGACATGAAGAAGAGGGGACACATGTTGATGTAGAGGAGACATTGAAGAAGAGGGGACACATGTTGATGTAGAGGAGACATGAAGAAGAGGGGACACATGTTGATGTAGAGGAGACATGAAGAAGAGGGGACACATGTTGATGTAGGAGAGACATGAAGAAGAGGGGACACATGTTGATGTAGCAGAGACATGAAGAAGAGGGGACACATGTTGATGTAGAGGAGACATGAAGAAGAGGGGACACATGTTGATGTAGAAGAGACATGAAGAAGAGGGGACACATGTTGACGTAGAAGAGACATGAAGAAGAGAGGACACGTGTCGACGTAGAAGAGACATGAAGAAGAGGGGACACGTGTTGATGTAGAAGAGACATGAAGAAGAGGGGACACATGTTGATGTAGAGGAGACATGAAGAAGAGGGGACACATGCTGATGTAGAGAAGAGACATGAAGAAGAGGGGACACATGTTGATGTAGAAGAGACATGAAGAAGAGGGGACACGTGTTGATGTAGAAGAGACATGAAGAAGAGGGGAACACATGTTGATGTAGAGGAGACATGAAGAAGAGGGGACACATGCTGATGTAGAAGAGACATGAAGAAGAGGGGACACATGTCGATGTAGAAGAGACATGAAGAAGAGGGGACACATGTCGATGTAGAAGAGACGTGAAGAAGAGGGGACACATGTCGACGTAGAAGAGACGTGAAGAAGAGGGGACACATGTTGATGTAGAAGAGACGTGAAGAAGAGGGGACACATGTTGATGTAGAAGAGACATGAAGAAGAGGGGACACATGTTGATGTAGAAGAGACGTGAAGAAGAGGGGACATGTTGACGTAGAAGAGACGTGAAGAAGAGGGGACACATGTTGATGTAGAAGAGACGTGAAGAAGAGGGGACACATGTTGATGTAGAAGAGACATGAAGAAGAGGGGACACATGTTGATGTAGAAGAGACATGAAGAGGGACACATGTTGATGTAGAAGAGACATGAAGAAGAGGGACACAATGTTGACGTAGAAGAGACATGTAGAAGAGGGGACACATGTTGATGTAGAAGAGATGAAGAAGAGGGGACACATGTGAGAAAGACATGAAGAAGAGGGGACACATGTTGATGTAGAAGAGACATGAAGATAGGGGACACATGTTGATGTAGAAGAGACATGAAGAAGAGGGGACACATGTTGATGTAGAAGAGACATGAAGAAGACGGGGACACGTGTTGATGTAGAAGAGACATGAAGAAGAGGGGACACGTGCTTGATGTAGAAGAGACATTGAAGAAGAGGGGACACATGTTGATGTAGAAGAGACATGAAGAAGAGGGGACACGTGTTGATGTAGAAGAGACATGAAGAAGAGGGGACACGTGTTGATGTAGAAGAGACATGAAGAAGAGGGGACACATGTTGATGTAGAAGAGACATGAAGAAGAGGGGACACGTGTGATGTAGAAGAGACATGAATGAAGAGGGGACACGTGTTGATGTAGAAGAGACATGAAGAAGAGGGGACACGTGTTGATGTAGAAGAGACATGAAGAAGAGGGGACACATGTTGATGAAGAAGAGACATGAAGAAGAGGATTTTGCATAATAGGTGACCTTTAATTCTAGTTGAACATAACATTTTGATAGTTGTGTGTTTTTATAAGTTATTGTGCTTTTTATCTTGTTTTTAATTATTGTTTTGTTTTGTACTCCTGTTGAGTTTTAGATGTGTTCCCTGTACAGCACTTTGGTCAACGGAGGTTGTTTTAAATGTTCTATATAAATGAATAAAGATTGAGATTGAGGTATGAAGATACATTAATTAGATTTGATTGAATATACAAATTAAATATCCTACAATTTGCAATAACATCACGGTACAATACTTCTTTGTGTGATCGGAGCAGATTTAACCTGCAGTTTTTCTGCTTTTCAGGCTCCAGTTGTGAAGAACTCACCAGCGGCCAAAACGACACGGTAAAATACTCTCTGCTTCTGATTCATTTTTACACGTTACTGACCGAGGGTTTAGTTTGAATTCCACCGTCACTTTTTTCAGTTATAATATGCATTTTGTCTTGTTTAGTCAACATCTAGTATAGAGTGTTCCTTGCACATGGTGGTGGGACTGTACATTTCAAATAAAGGAATACTTATGGCGAATTTAACTTAAAGGGGACCTATCATGCAAAATGTACTTCTTACGTGTCCCCGGTGCGTCAGGGAACTCACGCAGCGTCAGGAAATAAACCCTCTCTCTTCTCCTCCGTACCCAAATCTCTAAAAACGGGGAACAACGGAGCTGATCCAGATTTGCGTCCGATATGACGTAATATCTGAAATGTGGACCCACGGGCCCAATCAGAAACGTTGCTATCAGAAACAATGCCCGACTGTTTTGGACGTAATATGGTCGGTGTTTACATTAGCATCGCTAACACTCAGAGCTAACCTGTACTGGAGAGCATGTGTGTGAAGAAGCAGGAAGTAAAAAGGAACTCACCTTGTGGTATAAACCGGCAAGAGAGAAAAGCCTTTGAGCTCCAAACTGTTTCAGAGAGAATCCTTGATAATCCATGATATGGCGTTTCATCACGGCAGCATTTAGTTTAGACAGTAGCTGCCGGGTCCCGCATGAGCTCAGACCCCTCCTCTTTAAAGCTTTATACCCAAATCAGCACTTTAGAAACAGGAAGTGGAATAGAGGGATATGAGGCATGGCTAGAATGATCTGTTTGGTGTTTGGAGCAAAACACTTCATAGACATGTTTTTATATATTTGTGTATATCTGAGACCTTTGCTATTGCCTACAAATAGCACGATAGGTGACCTTTAAAATGAGTAAGATATTTGTTCTTTCTTTTCAGCGGGCATCCGAGGAAATCGAGTCCCCGGACCAAGCCATCCAGCAGATACAGTGCGTCATCTGTCCTTTCATCAAAACACTTTCATTGCAACACATCTTTGATTTCTGTGCCTCTGTTGAGTTAGCTTTAGCAGTAGCTGTAAGGCTCTGCTAAAGAAGAGCCAACCGTTTATGACACTAGACACACTATTCGAGCACGAGAATGGCTTTTGCAGTAAAAATGTGTCCGGTTTCAGGAACATCTTGAAGATTATGGCTTCAAAGATCCAATTATTTACTTATTACTTATTAACATAATTAGCATTAGTGTTGGCATTTAGTGTCAAACATTGTCACAGCATATTGTACATTGCATATTTACATGAATGACATCAATCTGTTCATAGTTCTTTTCAGCAATATACACATGGTGACACAAAACACAGATGAGATGAAAATGAAAATAAAACAACAGTGAACAATTAGGAGTAGACATTTCTTTACAGCAGAGTTATGGATCTGTGAAAACAAAATCAGGAAAAGTTGTGTATTGATATCCATATCTCAGCTCTGACCCTCGTGTGTGTTGTTGTGTGTTCAGATCTGTCGCTGGGGTTGCTGACTCAGCGCTTCCTGGCGCTGCTGCTGGCGGCTCCTGACGGGGTGGTGGATCTGGGTCATGTGACCACGAGCCTGCAGACCCGCAGGAGGCGAGTTTACGACATCACGGCGGTCCTCGAAGGCATCAGCGTCCTCAAGAGGCAGTCGGTCAACCACTTCAAATGGATGTGAGTGAACACAGATTCAAAGGTTTTACTGTCATGTAAGCTACAGGGTAGAAATGGCAATGAAATTCTTCTGACCTGAGCTCCTCCAACAATGCAACATATATAATAAAATAAAAAGTATTGCAAGAAGTCTATATGCTTGTAAATAGAATATGATATGTACAATAACAGAATATTAAATAATGTACATTAAGACAACATTAAATACGGTTTATTGCGGTGATAACTATTTATATAAATAAGTAGATTGCAAGATGACAACAGGAATGTTTATCGGGGCACTTAGCAGAGCTCAGGGAATATGTCCAGGGTTTATTAATGTTTGCTTTCATATTCCATCAACTTATTGATTCTCTTGAGTTCTGTTATAGCCCCCATAAAAGCAACATTTTAACACTTTATTCAACAATTTATGATAAGCTCAAACCCTATAATAATACATCTATCTGCCAGGCTCTGTTTTGCATTTTCTCGGTGGCAATTTATTTTTCCGACTAACCTATTATACTATTTTTAGGCATATATTATAGGTCTCAGATATATACAAATATATAAAAATCATGTCTATATGAACAGATCATGCATTTTAGACATCCCTCTATTTCAGCCCTGTTACTAAAGGGCTGATTAGCTTTAAAAAAAAAAAACATCCGATCATATCAGCAGCAAATCTGGATCAGCTTCGTTGTTCCCCCGTTTTTAGCGATATGGGTACGGAGGAAAAGAGAGGGTTTTGTTTTCTGACACACCGGGGGACACGTATTTACGTATAAAAGACATTAGAAAGGGCATTTTGCTTGATACGAGACCTTTAACACATTTAAATAATGAGTTACTTCTGTCTGTTGCAGAGGAAGCACGTCCATCTCCAGCTTCCTGTGGCAGAACCAGCAGAAGCTCCAGAGAGAGTTGGACAGCCTGAAGCTGGTGGAGGACACGCTGGACTCGCTCATCAAGAGCTGCGCTCAGCAGCTGTTCAGCATGACCGACGACCTCGACAACGCCACATATCCTTTCAGATCACCGTCTCCACGTTCTGCCTGTTTTATAACACCAGAAAGACTTCGGATGGGACGAAACTTCATTATTTAGCGAACGGATTATTAAAGTAGTTTTTCATGCAATGATGTAAAAAAATACTGCATTCAGCCTTTCATACGGGGAGATTTCCTTCTTCTTCTGGGTTTTGGACATTTAAAGACATCAGCGTGGACTTTTAAAAACTATTATTTACCAAATGATAAATTGATGTGGAAAATTAAATTACAGTCCAGGTTTAGACCAAAACAGGAAGTACATTAGGCTTTAATGTATCAGGTTGAAAGAGACATCATTTCAAATGAATGCTAATGTTCGTCCGTCTGGATTTATATCAGAGTTCCCGTTAGCCGGTAATTACCGGACTACGACCGGTAAAATATGCTGAAGACCGGCAAATCTAAATCTCTCCGGTCAAAGTGTCCGTTCAAAATAATTTCCGCTTAGCGCAATACCACATCAATTGCGCAACTTGCACCATTTATGTGACAGACAAAAGAGTATGTGACAGACAAGAATAGTCAATTCTAATGTCTAACACTTAATGTGGAGAAAGAGATGTCCTGTATGGGTTGATTGTGCGTTGATCTGTTGGTAATGCCTCAGGGTTCCGGTGGGCATGTAAACAAATGCATAATGCTGCGCTATACTTTGCGGCCTCACCCAGTTGCATAGCGACACTTATTGTTTAGGTGTCTTTTAATAAGCAGGTAGTCCTATCATTAGCTAGAACTAGCTGGATCTGATCGATATGGACATAAACGCGAGTGAAGAATAATCTGACGGGAGAGAGAGATCAGCTGCTGCTGACGAGTCGACACGCAGCTCTGCATGATCACATGCAGCGGTGAGCGGAACAAAACACACACTTCAGGTTAGAATATCACACATAGCTATTTTAATGACCTCTCAAACTACCTAAACTAGTTATTGATATGTTTAGTTTTACTGTCGGGTCACTCATTACTGATCTGCGAGCTGCATGATACTGACGGGCTGTCAGGAGAGGGAGAGAGCGCTCCGTTTATTATTCCCGTGTTATTGTAAGTTACTGTTCACTATTAATCTACTATAATTAGTTTGTTTAATATCGAATCATATCAATTTGTTTTAAAGCTCAATAAATAACAAAGAAGACCTTTGACAGGCACTTTTCTCATTTTGTCCGGAAGATTTAATCTTTAACGGACATGTTGACCGGCGAAAAAATATTCTAACGGGAACTCTGATTTATATATATATATATATATATATATATATATATATATATATATATATATATATGAATTAAATATGTGTCCATGTTGTGTTTAAGGCTTATTTTTGGCGTCCCAATGAAGCCATTTAATGCAGGTTTTAATTAAAATGATGGGCCTCCAAAAGATGTTGTTGTAAATGTGGATTTCTAAAACGTGAAGCAGGTTTTCTTTAACTTTTGCACGTCGGCCTACGTGACCCACGAGGACGTCGGGCGGCTCGCAGCCTTCCAGCAGCAGACGGTCATCGTGGTCAAAGCTCCGGAGGAAACCAAGCTGGAGGTCCCGGCTCCCAAAGAGGTGAGGAACACACAATCTTAAAGTATTTATTAAAGGTCTCCTATTATACTATTTTTAGGCATATGTTATAGGTCTCAGATATATAAAAAAACATGTCTCTGAAGTGTTTGGCTCGAAACAAAGAAAAAAAAGAAATGTTTTCTGACACTTTATGAGTGTCCTGACACACCGGGGACACATATTTATGTATAAAATGCATTAAAAAGTGAATTGTGCATGATAGGAGACCTTTAAGACATTGCTGATATACCAGATCATGTTTTAACGTGCTTAGTAAAGAGATACGATAAGAAGTACTTTATTGATCCCAATTTACAGCAGCATGAAAAGACATGGCATTGCACAATAAAGATTAAAAGACTAGAAATAAACAAGAAAGTAGAAAATATACATGTTGAATTTACAAATGAACAATAACAAGATATAAAGCAAGTTATTATATATACATAAGTATGTGAGAGATGGAATATTAAACTGAATATTTACATGTAAAATAGGGCTGAACAATATACCGTGTCATGGCGATAACCGCGATATGCGCATGCGCGATATTCACACCGCAGGGACGTGCGGTTTTATTCATTTAAAAAAAAAAATGCTAACGCACTTTAGCACAGAATTCAAAATAAAGATACCCTTATTACTTATCGAAACTGCACATACAATATATCCGATTAAAGCTGAGACTCCACAGATTATTTAAGTATAGTATCTAAGCGATCCGATCTCGCAACAGGGGAAGCAAACACAGACATCACAACACGTACCTTTTACGGAGCTTTTACGGGAGATCGTCTCACCGTAGCTGTCAATCTGATCAAAAGACGTGTTCAATGGCATTAAAACGAGAAAAAAAAACGCGGCTGAATCGGTTGATCCATAGGTTGATAATGTATCTGTGGCTTTGAAGCAATTGTTTATAATCCATAATTCCATTTTTATGTAAAAATCGGAGCACAACAAGCTAACACAACAAGCTAACTAGCTGATAATGGTATGCAGCTTCCGGTTTTGGCTACGCGTCACTCTCACTCCTTATTTGGTAATGTGTGTGTGTTAGACTGCGCTGGACTGCCGCATAGCCAAGACCGGAAGCAGCAGCCACTCTGGTGGCTACCATTAGTAGCTAACTTTTGCTCTGCGATTTTTACATACAAATTGAATTATGGATTATAAATGAAATACTTTTTTTATACAGAGACGTTAAAAACCTATGGATTAACCGATTCAGCCGCGTTTTCTCTCGTTTTAATGCCATTGAACACGTCTTTTGATCAGATTGACAGCTACGGTGATACATCTCCCCTAGAAGCTACGTAAAGGTACGTGTTGTGATGTCTGTGTTTGCTTCCCCTGTCCGAGTTCAGATCACTCAGGGATGATACTATATACCTACATAATCTGTGGAACCTCAGCTTTAATCGGATATCTTGTATGTGCACCTACGACAAGTAATAAGGGTATCTTTTATCTTGAGTTCTGTGCCAAAGTGCGTTAGCATTTTTCGCTCAGGGGTCATTTAGATGCTTCTTATGAGACTTGTGTTTTGTTCTGGTAAACATGGTTTGTATCGTCAGCTAGCTGAGATTATTTCCGTTAATCTGGTATAACACATTAATAGGTTCTTAAATATTAAGATCCCCTGAGACACAGTGTCGTGGGGCTTAACAGGTTAAAAAAAACGCAATATATACCGCAGGGGGGGGGGGGGAATCGCGATGTCAGTTTTTTTCAATATCGTGCAGCCCTAATGTAAAATGTGCAGTATCATCACGGTGTGTGTGTTTTGATGCAGGATAATATCCAGGTGCATCTGAAGGGGGGGAGGGGTCCCATCATGGTCCTCACCTGTGAGGTGGGGGGGGCGGACGCCAGCAGACACTTCCTGCCGCTGGAGGAGAGCCGGATAACGACGAACACGCTGCACACAGGTAACACACAGAATAACAGAAACACACAGAATAACAGAAACACACAGAATAACAGAAACACAGAATAACAGAAACACAGAATAACAGAAACACAGAATAACAGAAACACAGAATAACAGAAACACACAGAATAACAGAAACACAGAATAACAGAAACACAGAATAACAGAAACACACAGAATAACAGAAACACACAGAATAACAGAAACACACAGAATAACAGAAACACACAGAATAACAGAAACACACAGAA